GCTGATTTGTTCATGTTTTCTGCAGAGCTCTGTCAAGAATGTCTTCATCCGAGGCTCGGTCGTACGATACGTGCACCTACCCGCGGGTTCGGTAGACACCCAACTACTCGAGGATGCTACAAGGAGAGGTACGTGTTTCTTCCTTTGTATTCGTGATATTGGACACTTCAATCAGGCTCCAACCCCCATGGCCATTGCTGACTTTTCCTTTCATCAACAGAGGCAGCTTCTCAGTCAGCCAAGGCGAAATGAGGGACTTCAGAGTGATATAGCTCAATATTAATATAAAAAGAACTTGATATTCGTATATGTCCACGGCGCTATTGGTTTGGGCATGGGGATTTACTTGTCTGTCTAGGAACCGCCTGCAGGAATTGGGACCAGAGATGGGAATGGAAGCAGAGCAGGGAACCGACTTTGCGGATGATAATAACGGTACCGAGGCTCGCATTTGACTTGCCCCTATATTCGACAATACCTCAGTAGAAAGCGACGAAGCAAATAAAGAAGGCATGCAACACATCACATATAGTTATGCCACTTGAGTCCTTGTATCCAGCTTTTTTCTTTGTAACTGCTATAAGCTTGATCACCACCAAGCAGCCCCTCCCTTCCCGGGTTTTCCATCCCAGAGTTCAACGGCTTTCTTGTCATCGTCCTGCCCTTCTATCAAAGGTCTGACAAGGCCACACCGTCTCCTCTCCGCCATCCATCTATCGTTCCAGGCCTTCATCCTGGCTCTGGAACCCTCGCTCCCAACGTTGACCGTCGGTACGATCTTTTCGATCCTCAGGGACATGACAAACATGGCCAGCTCACGGAAGCTACTGTGCTCAGAGTACGGCACACCAAAGCACATGGCCTCTTTTGTACTCCCTCTCTGAGCAGTAAAGTCCTTGGCACTGAATCTAGTCCGCCAACCCTTGCTATGGAGGATCTGCTCTGTGGGGATAGTACTGGGAGGTGTGTTCGCCCCGATGGCTTTCCCATTGCCATTCCCGGGACGAAAGTTCCAGCCGCTTGGCCTGAAACCCACAATGCGGCTGAAGTGAGGTTTGTAGCCGTTCAGGTACTCCTGTAGAGTCTCGGCACGGATTTCCATGAGCATCTGCATGTGAACCTGTGCATCGAGCGGGTTGGATGTGAGACGCTCAGTGAGCTCGGGGATCCCCAGCTGTTTGCAGATCTTGATCTTTCCTGGTGAGGCAAAAATCTTGGAGTTGAGTGCCTTTGCGATCGCGACACATATCCGTTCCTTTCCTATCGAATATGTGCCGCAGATAACTAAGAGACGGTGACGGGGACCTTCGGCCGGCTTTGACTTTGCACCCTCATTACCGGCCGGCGACTTTTGGAAATACTTGCTGACGGCCTGCGCTCCATCCTCTTTACTTGCCCTATCCCAAATGTCGTCCCGCGAGTTTGGGTCTGCAGACATGGATCCACACAAGTCTGCGCAAGCTTTGATGACATCCTCCTGGGGAGGAAATGAATATCTAGGGTTGAGGTACGTGGTGTCAAGGTAGCAGATGTCAATCTTCTGCTGTCTCACTTTGCCAGAGACCATGTCCTTGACCTCTGGCTTCAGCAAGGGATGCCCAACATGATCTGGACAGGCCCGAAAGTCTCCGCAGTGCAATATCCGTTTTACATGGCCGGCAGAACCGTTGCCCATTTTCTTCTCAAAAAGAAAGAGTGAGCTTCCTGGGCAGTGGTTCGCCGGGATCATCGTCACCGTAGCACCATCCGTCCCAGGAATATCGTACTTCTTTTCAAAGTCAAGCTCGACGACCCATTTGTCGGCAGTTCCAAGCTGTTTCCTAACCAAACTTCCAGTAACTTTGCTGCAGTAAATGGGCCCGTGAGTCCACCTCGCTGTCAGTCCTATATAGTGGTCGCTGTGAAAATGGCTTAAAAAGTATGCTTTGCACCCCTCGATTGCGTTGTATCTAAAAGCATCAACACAGATTGAGAAGCCAGGCATGATCTTGTAGAAAGGGCAAGTTCTTTCATAGGCTGGTCGCCCGCGAGAGGATTTCTCGGCCGCCGCTGCAGTTGCCCATGCCGAATCCTCGGCGTTATTTGACATGAGCTTGGAAAAGGCTGACTTTGGGCCTTTGGTAGATGGGCTCTCCTCTAGGGGGTTTTCTTGTGGCGGTTTCGGGCCACGGTTTATTTTGAAGCGTTTGCTGTAGTCGGTCATTCCAACATCCCGGGTCGGTGAGGGCTCCTGTGGCAGCGCAGGCTTGGCTTCTTCGTGCTTGGGTAAAGGTGTCGGGTTCCCGTCTAAGCATGAGTTGACATGCCGTGTGGCAAGATCTGTGGACAACCCGGCCATATTTCCACCGCAACTAGGGCAATTCATGATGATTGATCCATCTTCTGTGGCATCATCGTGAAAGTCTGCTGCGGAGAAGCCTCCATCACCTTCCTCGGCTTCCAAGCGGGCCTGCTCTCGCATAAATCGCATTTCACGTAGTTCTTCCCCTTCAAATCCGTCAAACAAATCCAAATCCCCAAAATCCTCATGTTCAATATCCCCAATGTCGTCAAGTGGCATAACAGAAGTTTCCTCATGTTTCAAGCGCGGCGGGGTATTCGTTTCGACGGGTTCGACAGGTGCGGTAGTATGATGATCATGGAGATCTAGAATTTCCGTCTTTGGAGCCTTATCCAGGTCTTTAAGATGCTCGATCAGGGTCTTTTCCGGTGCATGGATTGGCGAGGCGGCCGGTGCGTCGTCTTCTTCGTCCTCGCTATCCGAATCCATGACAAAGGGACCTCGCACGCGAGGCTTCCCATTCTTGGAAGGAGGTTTTGTGTCGCTGGGAGCATCGCTCGTGCTGTTGGAGCTAACCTTTCGTTTCTTGACCGGCGATTGGCTCTCATTAAAGCGGTCCTTTGGGTCGGCGCTGTATAAGTCCTCCTCCTCGTCCTTGGGCTGGTTTTCGGTGGCGGCGACACCAAGATTCCCACCGACGAAAAGGGAGTCTTCGGGTTTATCCGTCTTCTTGAAAAAGCTCAGAATACTCGCATTGGGCTTCGCTTGCTTCTTGGCGAAGAAATTAGATGCAGCATTTGTCGGTTTTCTCGGGGTATTGGAGGACCGGGATTTCGTTGACGCAACCATCGTGGGTGGGCTAATACAGCGTGAGACTGGACTTTGGTGGGCAAAAAGCTACCATGGATATATCGGTTCCATGGAAAGGGGCATAGCCCGCAGCTCAAGGGATCTCAAGAGAGAAGGAGCTTGGAAGGAAAGACAGATGGCTCTCAAACCCGAAAACGAACCCTATCGAGACTCCCACTATCTTTACTGGGTCATGTCTCCGATCATGTCAGGCGGGTCAGGGTCGTCTGCCCCAGAAACCGCGTCGTGAGCCCGTTAAGCACCAGCTAGTCACGAAGTCACCTGACGCGTGCTCCATCCACTTTACCTGGTGATTCCCGGCTACCCTGTAGTGGCTTTCTCCGGGCAGATTGCACCGCAAAGTCATGAACAAGGTTTGACCCCTTGGCCCATTTCCGACTCGTGATGTGCGCTCATGACTGTCGTTAAGCTAAATAGTGGCTTATACCTCGTGAATTATGTAACCAGCCGGGCGATGATGCCAGTATCTTATTCGGATAATGAGACTCTTCTACTCTTTAGGTTTGCATTTGCCCCCCTGATGCCTGGGGGTGCAAGCGCTATCGGCCATGTGGTTCACAGCACGTACGTAGTATATACTTTTGCGTAGCACAATTTTCCTCACCATCGGTCAATTGAACACCACAAGAATCATTTATTTGCCGTCTGCTTCCCAACTGTTTGCTTCTCATTTCCTTATCTCTTCAGTGCCGGAGTTTTGGTGTCTATGCAGGTATCGAGAGTGTGTGTATCTTCAAACCAACAGCTCTTCCCCCGCGGCCAGCATCAATCCATTCTCACCTAACCCACTAATAATTTCCGCCGCATTATGGCCTGTAAGTCCTCATAACCCTACTGTTCCTTGCCATATGCTAAGTTGGACTCTTCTCTCCCTCGCACAGCATGGTTCAACTCGACCGTCAGGCTGACGCACGTCACGCCCATCCCCGAGGGCATCACGGCCGAAAAGGCCATCTCCGTCCTCCGGGAGCACGAGTTCTTCATCAAATGTGACCCCCACATGATATCCTACTCGTCGACCTCCCTCCCGGACCCGCCGCCCTCGGTGCCCGCCGAGCGCGAGGTCACGGTGCTCGAGGGGGCGGAGCCGGCGTGCTTCGAGGTCGTCGACCGCGTGCACACGCTGCCCGCGGGGCTGTGGGACTCGGACGTGACCAGCACGTACGAGTTCGTCGACATCGAGGGCGGCATGTTCGTGCGGATCCGCAGCAGCCTCGCCGTCTGCATCGAGTCCACCTGGGAGGTCCGCGAGAGGGAGGGCGAGGAGGAGGACGAGGAGGAGGACGGCGGGCGGCTCGAGCTGGTGGAGGACGTCATCCTCAGCTGTCCCTATCTGCTGGCGGGAGCGCTCCAGAGCTCGTGCGAGGAGGGGTACCCGGGCGTCCACGAGAAGATGCTGGCTCGGTTTGGCGGCGGTCCTGATATCCCGTATCCTGCGGAGAAACCGGAGGACCAGCTGGTGGCCGAACTGGAGGAGGAACCATTGGACTAAGGCGCGACTTAGATGTAGAATTTACGCATTAGACATATGAGTTTTTATATCAGCGACCAATGCATTCCAGGATCCTCATTGAATTTCACAGTAATTAGGTGTGATAAGATGTGGCGAGTACACAACCAAGATGTTTTGTTGGGCTGGATTGCAACTCTACCTTGATATGAGTTAACCTTGTAGTATCCCCTCGCTATAATGCATTATCCCCTGTCCCCTCGTTCATCGTACACACTATGAGTCTATGTAAAAGGATTCAGACACCACCCGGCCCAAGTATGTATGTGACTGAACTCCGAAAGAACCTGACAAACGCCACCACCGTTTAGATATAAAATATATAAATGAAGAGATTCTCTAGAACTGTCTTTCAGTTCTTTTGATCGTCGTATCATCGCTGGCGGCCGAGAGGCTCTCGCTTTGATGCCGATTGATCCTCCTTTCAGGATCTACTTCGACCGTCATTGTCGTCACTACGTTCATTTGGATAGCCAAGTCGTTTATTTCGCCGGCCCGCAACGACTCCTGGCTGACGCTTCGTGGAGGCGTGCCTCTCGTCCCGTCTCTCCCAACCCGAGCCTGCCACCAGCCACCGACCCCAGACCATCCTTCGCCTCGATTCCCGCTCGATCCTCCCTGAATCCAAACGTTATTTCCGAACTTGCTGGCGGGCGTGCGCATAAAGGAGAAGGTGTCAATGCCTGTGTCTGCCATTCCGATCTGATCAGCGGCACCGAAGACGATGGAGTGGCGAGTGCTGCTGAAAAGGATGCAGTCGAGCAAGCCGTTGGAAACCATGGCCGCACCCGCGAAGCAGTAGTATGCGATTGGAACAGTGGCGTGTGCCATTGTGGCTACACGACCGACAGCTAGAGGTAGGGTACAGACGACGTAGATGAGTGGATAGATCAGGAAGACTGGGTTGTGGTTTAGCTGAACATGGGGCATGGCCGCCTTCAGCTGCATTTGGCGTCGGAGGGAGATGTATGTAGCAATGTAGAGACCAGATGTGACGATGATGGCAATAAATATGAACAGATAGTGTGTAAGAAGTCGAAGATTCTCATAATACCTGGTGATCCAGCACTGGAAGAAAAGAGAAGGGTTAGACAAAGGGGGCGACATGCAACTGCGTTGTTGACCGAGGAAGAAGCCATCAACTCCGGCATAGAAACACGAAAATGACTTACCCAAGCACCAGCCCGAACGAAGAAGCCACCCGCCACCTTTCCGTTGTTGGTTGCGAGGATGGGGATGGCCGACATGCCCCAGACGAAAACCCACATGAAGATGATGGCACCATTGAGAACTCGCTGTGGAGGCTGGTACTGCCTCACTACGGACAAGTAGGTGTGGATGGCGATGAGGGTAATGAAACAGCTGGCAGCCAAATCGCCATTTGGGATAAACAAGGCCTGGACGAAACAGGCAGGCGAGTCAATGTAGATGCCATCCTTACTGAGCCAAACGACACTGATGAAGAAGCCGATGGCTTGATGGATGTCGGCGAGGAACAGGTTGTAAATCAGGATGAGAAACTGATTCGGAGCCTCACTTTCGATGCTGCGTATCTGACGGATGTGCGCCTCATGGGCGATCTTGGCCGTTTGGCTGTCCGCCACAAAAGGTCCATCTTGGAAATCTAGATTCGGTACAGGAGGGACATCAGGAACATTTGAGACTAGAATCCTGGCTCGCTCCCGCTTGTTGAGTTTCCATGAAATCAACTTGTAAGTGAGATAGGTAAAGAGGCTGGACGACAGCGTAAGCGATATGGCGCTCAACACGGAGATGGCGATCAGTCCATGGCGAAGGCTCTGATGCTCGCTGCTGCTGAGGTTTGTGAGGGACTGGCTGTCGGTGTTATTGTCGAGGTATGTGAACTGTGTGGTGGTACGAATCGTTTGAGATACCAGTTCAGTCCCAAGCAAATCCATAGAAGAATTCATTATTAGGAGTTGCCCCGTCACCGACGACTCCCCATTCTCATTCCCAAAGAGTTACCCAATGAACCAGATAAGTGATGGGAGATGGATCAATCCAGGCAGGAATATTGTCTGCCGGACGAGGGTGTGATCAAGAACACTACGCCAGAGGCACCGGAGGGAAAAGACTCCAATATAATGAATACCGACGCTTATATCAGGTATGGGGCGGTCGGGTCAAGCACGACAATACCATGCCGGACAGGGAAGGCCCGTTCTTTTTTTTGTTCCTCTGGAACCCCGAGAACTCTGGGAGGGCGGGCCTCTCATCATGGACTTGCTGAGGCGGACCTAGTGGTGTGGACGTATATGTAGGTATGCGCCGGTGTGGCATGTGGTGTGGAAGTGTGTGTATGCATGTGCATGGGTGCGCCCGTCGCCGCAATAGTATCCCCCACATTTAGCCTACCTTCTTTGACCCATGTGGAATGTGAACCAGAATAATCCAAGACCAGGCTGGCTGATGTGTCAGGGCGAATCTGATTGAATACGACGGTAGACCGTGGGTGGTGCAGGGGGAGGTTAGGTTGGCAGATTAAGCCATGGAGGGCAAGGGGCTTGGCCATATCAGCACTAGCTGGATGAAACAAGGAAAGCAAAGGCTTGCTATTATCCCCGAGGCCTCGACGAGTCGGAGCCTCCAGCTAACTTTTGTCATACCAGCTTTGTTGCTTAGGTCGAGATGGTGGGTGGGCGGGTGGAGAAGAGGCTTGGGCTCGAAGGAACAAGACAAGGACCAGCAAGCGGACTAGGTGTTATTGGGGAGGCGACATCGATAGAGTTGAAGAGCAACAATAGCTAACGACATGGTCGAGGTGATTCACGAACCGCGGGGGGATCAACGCGAGCCGGGAGGAGCAGCTGAATAGGAGTCGGTCCCGCTGGTCGGCCCATACTGTTGGCCACATGGCCCAATTCCCTATTCGTCTGACTTGGCGAGCTGGGCATTGTGGGGGAGGGAGGCAAATCCAGTGAGATTATGAGAGCGAGTGTGTGTGGCCGTTGATGATGTCCGCTGTTGGCGTGAGAGTCTCAGGCTGTGGTCTGGTGGACGGAATGGACCCCGACAAGATTCGCAGCCGGGGGAGTGGCCTTGTGACGGGGATCATTGAGGGGACCTTTTGGGGAAGAGGGGCCGCCGATGCGATTGGCTGCCGCTGTGGCCCAAGCTTATGGGGGCTGCAGGTGCCTCGGACATGCTCTTCAGCGCACCCGACTATGGCCTCTCTCCCTGTAGACTGCCAGGGGGCAGCCATCTGGGCTATTGAGATTGGGTATGCACCTGGGGTTTGTTCCCTGTAGCGCTAAGCGAGCACGAGTCCGTCGAGCCCGAGGCTTCAAGGTTGTCCGCCGACCCCAGCAGATTACGCCTTTCCTATGTCTCCTGAAGCAGAGCCAGAAGATTTCATAGTCTTGCCTGTCCCCTTTCCTTCGACCCTAATCGGCCGGGCGGGCCCCATTGCACAGGATGCGCCAGTCGCTGTTAGCTTATTGTTATCGCAGGCATTACCAGGAGCCCGTCTACTGGCTGGTTTTAGCGTGCAGATGCTGCTAAATTCGTTCCACGTCCGTTCTGTGGCGTCTTCCTTCTCCCTGCATAGCTTCTGCAATTGTTCCATCTGACTGCCTTAGTTCGCGGCCGACGTAATACAGCCGTGCACAGATATGTCCCGAATGACGTGGGAGAGGATGTCCTTTGTACTGTGGCTGCAGCCTGCTCACCCTCTTGGTCATCGCTTTTCGTCTTCGCCGCCCGCCCGGCCGACATTTGGCGCTGGACAAGGCAGGGCAGGGCAGTATTACAATAGTATCTGCAGATTACCTTGCTTGCGTGCATGAGCCCTGGACAGGACAGGTATCACCTCCAGACCTCCCTATTTGTCTTCGCGTAAGTTCCAGACCGGCGTGTCTTGGCTCCGCATGACCGTGGCTGGCACATGGTTTATGCAGACAACAGCGACGTTGCTCAATACGGACGTTTCAAGAACAATAATAATTACCGACCTATTGATTACCCAGGTAGGACATACGTGGAAGCGAACTGGCGGGTAGTTTCCCCTGTCAGAATACTAGTGTGCTGCGTGTCCTGGCCAGTCATCGTCGTCCGGTTCAATTCATGTACTCCGGTTGTTTGAGGCATTGAATTTTTGCGTTCGACCAACAGACAGGGGACTCTCGGCCTTCTCCGACCTCTCCGCATTCGCTTGTTTGTTTGTAGCACGGATGTATTGCCATGTAGGATCGTAATGGGGCGGGGGAAATATTCATCCCAGGGCCCAATCTAGTATTGCCAACAACAAAACATGGATGAGATTGGAGCTGAACATCACATGCATGAGCTTACGGCGTTGTTGGTGTTGTTTGGGAATGGTCAGCCAAGAGAATAGTGAGAGCGCCACGGCAACACCGTATTCCGAGTTCTTTGTTTTTCGATTCAGCTGCTGGCGCATGCATTGAATCCCTCGCCCTCTTCAATTGCTCTGTTTTTCTCGGTCCTGTGTCATCCCTCCTTCCAATTCTAATTGTGGGTGAAAACGAAATACGGAATACGCGGACAGGACTCGGTGAGATAATCTGAGGTAGGTACTCGTAGATAAGGACGGCTTACATAAGCCATCGGTGAACAGGCCTCTGATGCATCGGTAAAACCTCGCAACAGCCCCTGGTGCCCAACGTCGTTTCCAGATGGCGGTTTTGTTGATAGTGGAATCGAGTCAGTTCATAGCATCAGCAGGCTGCAAAACGTATCTATGCGGCTTCCATGAAGGGGCTTGTCTCTCCTCTTACTTGCACATTTGCATAGTTACTCGGAAGGGCTGGGACGAGGAAATCATCGTGATACGAAACCCACCCGCCATGTGGGACAGATTACTCACCCAGCCTTACTCACTGAGCCATTCGTCCAAACAAGAAAGCGTCTAGCATTATCATTGCCATTCCCGGTCTTCACAGCCTTCACATGAAGCACGGCCCGCCACAGTCTTCAACCTAGAGGCGGCGGCCGTGACGCAGTAGCGCGCGCTCACGCAGCTGGGAGAGGTGGAAGAACTCGTTCAAGAAATTAACATCAGTCAAACCGGCGACCAACCATGGCGTCTCTTCAGGTGAAGTGGCCGGAGGTCTCTGTCACTAAACAGAAGGCTCTCGACGATGCCTTGAAAATGCAGAAGAGGGTCATTGAGCAGTGCAACAAGTCGGGAAAAGAGGTCCCCAAGTACCAGCTCTCGGAGCTCATCGGCAAGGGGAGCTTTGGCCGTGTCTACAAGGCCACCTCACTGACCACCAAGCAGCTGGTCGCTGTCAAAATTATTGATATCGACCAGAGCGACAATGCGGACCCCAGGATGGCCGATACCTACAGCGATTTGCTCAAGGAGATTAACGCCCTGCAGATGCTGAGCGACACGGGTGCCAAAAATATCAACCATGTTATCGAGGCTCTCCCCGTTGGACAGTCCATGTGGATGATCACAGAGTACTGTGCGGGAGGAAGTGTGGCGACTCTTATGAAGCCAACCTCTCCAGGTGGCCTCCAGGAGAAATGGATCATTCCGATCCTGCGCGAAGTTGCAGAGGCCATCTCCTGGGTACACGCTCAAGGAATTATTCACCGTGATCTCAAGTGTGCCAACGTCCTGGTTACCGAGGTCGGAGACGTCCAGCTTTGCGACTTCGGCGTTGCCGGTGTCATCGAGACCAAGTTCGACAAGAGAACCACTGTCATTGGCACGCCGCACTGGATGGCACCGGAGCTTTTTGATCCTTCCGCCTCCTACGGCACTGAGGTTGACATCTGGGCTTTTGGCGCTATGGTCTTCGAGATTGCTTCTGGTTTACCGCCGAATGTGGCTGCCGGCATGGATTTCACAAAACTGGGAACCTATGTCAAGCAAAATACACCGCGCTTGGATGGTGATAAATATTCTTCTGGCCTAAAGGACCTCATTGGCTACTGCCTGCAACACGATCCGGCCAAGAGACCTAATATTACTCAGATTCAGCGCCACGGGTACTTGTTCAAGACCGAGGATGCCTACCCAACAGAATCATTGGCTCATCTCGTGAGAGCCTTTAAACTTTGGGAGGCACAAGGAGGTGACCGAAGGTCATTGTTCAACCTGGGAGGTGCGCAGGCACCAGTAGACCTCGCTGCAGCAGTGATGGCTGATGACGAATGGAATTTCAGCACGACCGCTGCCTTTGATCAGCAAGTGTTCAACAATGGCGATGCACAGGATGTGTACGATGTGTACGGATCTAACGTGGATCTTGTCCAAGAGAAGTATGAGGAAACCGCTCGCCCCCAGAAACCTAAAGGCCGTCGGAGACCTCCCCCTTATCTACCATCCGTCAAAGCTCCCCTGGAGAAATTGTTTGACCCAAACACCATGTCTAATTATGAAGACAATTCGAGGGCATACTATGGCCGTCCCTTTCCCATTCCTGCCCCCACTGCTGCGCCGAATGCTTCCGATCTTCCACTTCGAGATGACTCTCTCCCCTCATCTGATGTGAGGGAGTCACTCATTGACTTGGATATAGGCAGGAAGTCGCTCATTGACCTGGATGCTTCGTTGCACGGCGGCGGGCTTTCGGACTTTGTTGACTTGAACACTCTCAAGGCTGGGGACTCAAGATTTCCAGTCGACTTCGACATGGGGGACCCGGAGCCTTTTGATAACGGACCTCTGAGTGATCCTGGCGACATGAAGGGAAACCGTAGGACACAGGACTGGAAGTTCCCCTCCCTGACACCGGGTCCTGCTCCTCCAGATCCACAAGCATTCCGGTTTCCTGCCATGCCCGAAGAGGCAGAGCCAGCACCCAGCCCAGTTACCAGTCGCCCCCCTCTCCTTCATCGGCCTACGGAGCCGCTACCTCCTTCTTCACACTATAACGATCTCGCCCCGACGCCGTCGGTTGATAACCGGGCGTCTACAGGGAGTCTTATTGACCTTGACTTGAGCATGCCCGACACAGCCACGGATTATACACGTCCATCCACCTCTCACTCAGACGCAAATTCCGTGGGCAGTTCTGATTTCGGTAGCACCAACCCGTTCGAGCTTGAAAAACACACATCCTTTTATGCGATGCCAGCTACGTACCGCGAGCCATCCATCTATGTTTCAGACGAATCTGAGTTTTCAAACATGCAGCATGATGTGATGGCAAACGACGTCAACCATTCTGCTCAGTCCAACGGCCATTCCCCTAGTCTATCTAGTGACCTTGCACGCCCTTACTCCTTGAGTGACTTTGCCGATATGGACCCTGAATACCCTGACGACGACCCCACCCCAATGCCTACTACTTCCGCGAATCCTGCACAATTCCCATTTGTCCCTCCACATGAGAATGGTTATCATGATGACGAGCCGGACTCGGCAATTCGCCATCCATCACCTTCTCGTGAAAATGGGATCTCTTTCCTACCCCCGCTACCACTGGCGCCCTTGCCTCAAGTCATGGAGGGCCAAGCCTCTCATGAAGAAGTAAAGGAAGAGCTTCGCAGAATGGCCATGTCTCTGGGTGCCCATCTCAGCCACGCTGATACCTATCTCTCGGGATTGCAGGTTCGACGTGCAAGTTCGACCAGAGCAGAGACTCCTGGGGATATCGTGACCCCTTCATGAGAGATAGAAAGATGAAAATACGCAATGAACCCCCCAAGTGGGCGGGTTTGTAATTACTAGACACATTTCCCACACCGACCTTGCTAGGGCAAAGGTGTGGAGAAGGGCTGGATGCCTATCTAATGTTTGATTTAATAACTGCTGTTGTTGACGAGGAGTTTTTTTCGGGATTGGCATACAGAAGCGATTATCGGGCAAGAACCCGTATCATGTACATGCACTACTACGCTGGAAATGAGACCGTTTGGCTCTTCGTAATGGCATTTCATAAGCATCATGATCTGTCTCTCTCCTTGAGATGATCAATGTCCTTGGAGATCATGAGCATTTGTTGTAAAATCTGGAGGAATAGTATGATAGAATGGCCAATAAATTTATAATGCATGGGTTAGGAATCGTTGGACAATTTGTGACGAGCGAGCAGATATCAAGTTACCACACGAGTATGCATGATTACCTTAGGTATCAAACGAGTATTCGCAAAACGAGCTTGTTCTCGATGCTGTGATCCAACAACTAACTAAGAGACTATATCACCTATGTATACCCAATCAAGTCTCCCATCAACAAAGCCTGATACTTCTCGATCGCCTCGCCCAGCCGGATGAGAACCCCCGCGGCGAGCATCTTGACGTGGTTCTCATCCCCGCCGTCCTCCCCCCTGGTCCTCTCAAACACCCCGCTGGCCCACTCCCGCGTCTCGACCACCTCTCTCCCCAGCTCCTGGCAGAGCCGGCGCATGTCCCCCTCGTTGACCTCTATCAGGGCGGCCATGGCGACGAACCACCCCTTGAGCGCGCCGAGATCCCCGACCACGTGCTGCCTGGTCCCCAGGAGGAGGGACCAGAGCTCCGAGGTCAGCTGTGGGAGGGAGAGGGTCGATGGGCCGGCGGCGTGGACGATGATACCGAGGGTTTGCAGGTAGAGCCCGAGAAGAGCTGGGTTCAAGATCATTGGTCTGCGGGAATGGAGAGCGACGCTGAAGTGGGCAGTGAGCGGCGAGAAGAAGGACGATGCGAGAAGACTAGCCGTGGTGTTCGGGATGGCTCGGACGCGAGGCCGCTTTGCGGATTTGGACTTGTATCTGGCAGTGAACGTCTGCAGCTTCAGTACGTCGGGGCCGGTAGCTGTGTCTGCAGCCTCTGCAGCCAGTGGTTCGAGGAACGCGGACGTGACCGAAGTTGCGATGTTGTCGAGGGCTGTAGGCGGCAGTGGCTTGAGGCGGGAGGCGGGTGAGTGATCCTCAGCCTGTACCTCGCTGATGTAGAGCTGCTCGATCTTCTCCGGGAGTTTCTTTGAAGGGAACGATGCGGACGATTGGTACTGCGAGATGTCGTATCCAGCAAGCTCTCGTGATGAGAGACCCAACGCCACTATTATCTCCGTGCGCTGCGCTAGGGAGTAGTCGCCCTCGAAGTATGTGCGCGCGAACCAAGGAGCCATCGTTTTGGGTTGCGAGACAATCAGAGCAATCATGCTTTGTTGCCGAAGGTCATGGAATTCTTCTATCTCAAACTTGTCCTGCAAGCCCACGAGTAAACCTGCCAGCTCGTCCGCGTGCGAGCTGACTTCGGCGCCATAGTTGGCTTTTCGTCGGATAAGCGATGGAGCTGTTTGTAGGGCCAGGTTTTGTTTATCATAGGACTCCGAGTCCCGGAAAAAGGCTATCAGATCGCGAATGTAAACTGGTGGTTTCACTCGGTTTCGCTGAATGAGCGTTGGGTCATCATCTGAGTCTTCTGGATCCGAGTGCTTGGCATATGGTACCAAATCCTCGTCTTCATCTTCCTCCCCGGAAGAATCTATCTCTTGGATGATAGATTTAGGCTGAACAGTAGGTGAAGCTGGCTTTGGCTTCTTCTTTGGTACTTTCTTTGATGTTGTGGTCGGTTGCAGTTGGGGAGGAGGTTGCTGGCGAGTTGAGAGAAGTGGCTCTGAAGATCCAATACTGTCCGAAATCTTGGATAGTTCCTTGAGACTTCCCATATCCGCAAACCCCATGTCATCCATGTGGAAATCGAGCTTTTTATCGCTGCTGTCAACCAGACTTGAGAGGGTTTCGCCGACAACCATGCCAAGGAATCGAGCACGACTCTGTGTTGCAGCGATGCGGTTGGAGATGGCTCGTAAGTATGGCGCCGATCTGAGCAACATTGCCAGTTTAATAGGCAGTGATCGAGAAACATACCCAGCACTAAGAAGTAATATCTCGGTGTGGACTAGAGAATGCAAGTTAGAACATCGGTAAGTTTGCTTCGAAATCGACCTCACTTGCCATTTTGCTGCAGGATAGCAGCGTGTTTAATATATAACTCGTCGCCGAACTGAGATACTGATTTTTCCAGGACAGTTCTGATGTTTTCTTTGTTTTTGGAGAGGGCGGCTAGGACTGCCCTCCTAATCGCAACCCCGTGCCCGAGTCCTGCTCCGGACGAGGAGGAACACCACTTTATTAGATGGGATTCTCTCACTCTATCGCCTTGGATCACAGAATCAATAATACCGGCAGCAGCCGAAATGATTGCACTTGCGGATGGATCTTCAGGCTGTAGGCGGTCCAAGAATCTGTTTGATAAATGATCCAGGAGAATGTGCAGCACCTTCCTTGCCGTTTGTAGTTGGTTTAATAGGAGTTTGACAAAGATATTCGGATCGGCTCCTTTGGTAAGTAATACATCGTCAATGACGAATTTGAACAGCCTCTCTAGAGACGGGAGAGAGTAGAGTCAACTATGTTAGTTCAAAGACGACTAAGCTGATGTTTGGACAAGGAGAAGCAACTTGCTTACCAGCATAGCCCAGCGAGCCTCCTCTCTGCACTAAATCAGAACAAATTTGCATTTCTGTATCTGAGGACTCCAATTTTGCCCAACGGGCTACGTTTCGGCCAAGCCACAGAGTATATTCCAACCCATCAGCAGTCCATCTAGGAATATTATGGAGCTGCCCCTCCCCGACTAGAGAAAGCGCTTCAGCAGCAACTGACACGATACGTCCGTTTGTCAATAGAGAGATAAATGTTTGGGTTTGACCCTTCTTTAATATATCGTTTGTGAGCTCCTTGGTAGATGTCGTCCATAACTGTTGGGCTGCATGATCGCCGCTGAGGATTGTAGAAAGAAGGTCAAGAAAAATCTCCAGATGAAGGGTCAAGTCAGAGCGAGAGATTCCTTTGCTGCTACTCTTCACCTCGTTTATCAAAGCTACCATATGTGATAAGATCGCGTTGACTCCAGTGACACTGCTGAGGCAGCTGACAAACGCTTCTTTGGGGCGAAGCGTGTCGTTTGTGTCGCCATCGCCGGAAGCAGAGAATAGTGGCCAATAGTTGTGCGAAATTTCAGTCACCAGTATCTTCACTATAGCCGCGCTCTTCGGACTTGGTACATGGAGACTAAAATCGCTGTTCCTTGAACCTTCACTGTTGGTGAGAAATTCGAGGGTGGCAAGCAGAGCGTCATAACTCGGCTGGTTTTTGAGCGTGTCCAAAGCTTCGTCGGGTGAAGTTATTTTGCCCGAAGCCGAGGCAATTTGTGTAATTTGCTTGCTCTGAGACGCAACTTCGGTGAGAAGTGGTTCCTCTGCCACCTTCGGCTTCAGGTATGTGGTGCTGATCGGTGTGAGAAGCTCGTCCATTGTTGCGAGAACGCCATCAACGGCACAAAGTCGAAAGGATACCGAGCTCCGCCTTATTTAATCATACCGAATAGTCCGAAAAAGAAGAGAACCAAAATAAAGCTTTCAGAGACGAAGAAGAGTGCACTTTCTTGTTTCTTGCAGGGGCTGTGGGAGAGCTTGAAAGCTACCCCACCTCCACCGAACTCACCGACCCTCACCATTGCTCACCGAATGCACGGCTGCCTATCCATCCCCTCCCAACTCTCGAGGCGCATGAGGTCGAGGCCTGTCTGTCCTCTAGTACCTTCTTTGGTGCAACAGAGATAACCCGTCGACACCAATTCATATTCTAATACCCAAAAAACATGGCCGCCACACAGAATCTGGCTCATGTTGAGCCAACCAACGAGACCGCCAGGTGGTAAGCAAGCTCGCCAATGTAGCTCTTTGGTGACGGTCGCTAACGGGAGCCCGTCCACAGGCGACTGCTCGACCAGATCCGCCGGAACCCAGGCCCGTTCACCGATCCCAGCGCCGCGGACGAGGAATCGCTGGCGAATTTCGAAAAGATGAAGATCTTGTACGTTCCCGCCCCTTCTCTGCTGCTGACGCAAGGTCGGCATGTTCGCCTGCAGCTGCTAACAAGCTATGGACAGGGTAATGTACGATGCTCCTCGCTCCCCCTTCGTTCTATGTCCGAGACCACCATACGACGAGCATAAGAACTAAACAGTACTATTTGCTTGCAGAGGCGCCGGTGGTCTAGGGTGTGAAATCCTTAAGAACTTGGCCATGTCCCATTTCAGGGACATTCACGTTATTGACATGGGTGAGCATCTCTCTAGCCCTTGAGCCGGCACATGTCCAGCTGATGTTTTATTTCTCTTCAGACACAATTGATATATCCAACCTTAACCGCCAATTCTTGTTCAGGAAGTCGGACGTCGGGAAGTACAAGGCAGAAGTGGCAGCACGGTTTGTCGAGCAGAGGGTCAAGGGCGTCAAGATCACGGCCTACAATAATCGCATCCAGGACTTTGACGAGAGCTTCTACAAGCAGTTTCAGCTCGTTATCTGCGGGCTGGACAGCATCGAAGCACGAAGATGGATAAACGCCATGCTGGTCTCGATCGCCGAGGACGGGTCTGACGACCCGGACAACATCAAGCCCCTCGTCGACGGCGGCACGGAGGGCTTCAAGGGCCAGGCCCGGGTGATCCTGCCAACCATCACCTCATGCATCGAGTGCCAGCTGGACATGCACGCGCCCAGGGCCGCCGTGCCGCTCTGCACCATCGCCTCCATCCCGCGGCAGCCCGAGCACTGCGTCGAGTGGGCCCACGTCATCGCCTGGGACGAGGAGAAGCCCTTCGCCCAGCTCGACAAGGACGACCCGGAGCACGTCACCTGGCTCTACAAGAAGGCCCTCACCCGCGCCCAGGAGTTCAACATCCCCGGGGTCACCTACTCCCTCACCCAGGGCACCATCAAGAACATCATCCCCGCCATCGCCTCCACCAACGCCATCATCGCCGCCGCCTGCTGCAACGAGGCCTTCAAGCTCGCCACGTCCGCCGCGCCCTGCCTGGGCTTCGAGAACAACTACATGATGTACTCGGGCAACGACAGCATCTACACCTACACCTTCAAGCACGAGCAGAAGCCCGACTGCCCCGTCTGCGGCAAGCAGTCTCGGCCCCTCGAGGTCGACCCCAACACCACCCTCCAGGCCCTCCTGGACTCCCTCGCCGTGCGGCCCGAGGCGCAGCTTAAGAAGCCCTCGGTCCGCGCCGAGGGGAAGACTCTCTACATGCAGTTCCCCCCGAGCCTGGAGGAGAGGACCCGGCCCAACCTCGCGAAGTCCCTCGCCGAGCTCGGCCTCGAGAACAGGCAGGAGATTGTCGTCACCGATCCGGCCTTCCCTCTCGAGTTCACCTTCTACCTTGTTTTCAAGTCTTGAGTAGACATCTAGCGAGTCCATCTTTTGTTCTCACCTTTTTATTTTTTTTTGGCAAGCACAGGGCAGGATGGGGAAGGCATTTGCTGGGAGTTGTGGGCATTCTTACAACATCAATAACATATCGTTTTGCTTTTGGCGTTTCGGGCTAACTTTGATTCTGAAAATGAGAAATGAGAAAAAATAGACGAAAAAGAGAAGAAACATTATTTATGCGGAGAGAGGGGGAATTAGAAGCGCTGGAGTCTCAAGTATCATGGTATCATTCCCTTTTTTTTTTCTTGTCTATCTACCCTGCGAACACCTAAGAATAACAGCACAGTGACAAAAGAAAGATGCGAACTGAGTCCAATATACATATCAAAATTTGAAGGCTCTTCCAAGTTCCCCCGATGCAGCAAAGACAGTGTGTATGTGTGTGTGTGGAAAAAAATGAAGACGCTCGAAAAAAAAGGGGCAACTGTCGATATTCTCTACCGAACCATGTTGTCAACCTGGTCTTCAAGCTTCTTGCACTTCTGCTTCAGCTTCTTCACTGCCTCCAGGAACAGCTCGTCGCTGTCCCACTGCCCCGTGCTCTCGACGGAGAAGATGAAGTGGTCCCTCCTTCGTCCCAGCTGGACCTTGCCCTCGAACTCTTCGTGTCGCAGACACTCCCTGCTGACTGTGTCTCTCATAGGGTCCACGACGACAGCTTTCAGTTCTCCAGCGTGGCCCTCGTAGCCACTGCCCCGCTGGCCCGCCTCCTTCTTCGAGACCTTCTCCAGCCCGATGACACCTTCGGGGAAGCACTTGGCGAACTTCTGCGCATCAGCGCCGATGATGGGTTTCGTGATCTTAATCGTCGGCATCAGGCGGTACGAGGCGGTTGCGACGGGGGAGAACTTGGAGTGGTCGGAGCCGACACCCAGGTTCATGTACATGGAGAGCTCGATGGTCTGCCGGGGGCGCATCTTGGCGATGAGGATGTCTGGGTTGACGGGGACGATTGCGTCCTCGCCCGAGAAGTATTGATCTTGCCGGCCCTGGGGAGTGAAGGTGATGTCCTTGGCATAGACATGGGCGTTGTGGTAGGCCTTGAGAGGGTCTGTCTCGTTTGGCGCGGCGTCGGTGTTTACGGTGCAGGTCACATTGAGGTCCAGTTGGACTGTGTCGTAGTCCTGGGCATCCTCGCCCTTCTTGTGGAACCGCAGGAAGTTGCGCAGACCTTCGCGACCGCCTTTGAAGGGAATCAGTCCTAGTCGGTGGGCAAGGACCTCATCCTGAATGACGGAAGTGTTGTTTGTTATAAATACGTTCTCGATCGCTAGTGTTGGGATCTCGGCGATCAGAATGCGGCGGAAGGCATTGGCGAGAGAGGCGTCAATGCCGACAAGGGAGAAAGAGGCGTGGAATTGATCGTTCTGGTGGAAAGTGATGTCAAAGCCAGACTGGAATCGATCAATTGAGAAGGCATGATCTTCTCCGGGGAAGTGGCCCGGGAAATCGGTCGATACTGTGTTGGTGACCGTTTCTTTGTTAATGTTCACCGTCTGCGGAAGACAAAATTTGAATTAGTCTTTGAAATATTTGCCAGTTGTTTTTGAAGGAAAAATGCAGCTTACATTCCGGCGCTCTAGTTCCTCCTGGCTGGGAGGCTGCGCCCATTGCGCTTTCGTTGAGGGAGCCATCGCAATTGCAGGATGATTATGATGGTCGAGAGCTTGCAGGCAAGATGTCACACTGGGAAATTTTTTGATGCCCCTCCAACTCTCTAGGCTACCGGCTGGGAGATCTCGGTGAAGAAGGCGCTAGTCCGTTCCGGTTTAGTAGCTGGATCCTCACCGAGCATTTAGCTTTGTCACGTCTGATTCGGAAGCTTTGGGACCCGCATCATGCAATACAAGCAAAGAAAAGATGGTGTGTGCCAATGTGTGTATGACTGTGTCTCTTGTCTATCGCTTGATCCAACGTCCATGCGATTGATGCTCCAATTTCTACTATCTAAACTACATATATATGATTCCCTGTCATTCCCATCTCTCCAAACCCATGCAAAAAAAAAGAAGACGGAGAAAACTAATTAACAATAAATCGTGCATTGCACGGGCGCCCGCGGATTACTCATTCGATATCTTCCATGTTCCAAACACTAACGCCTTTCTTCTCCACGCTGGATTTCAACTTGTCCAAGACTGCTTGTCGGCGGGCCCGTTTGTCCATGAGGTCTCCCTTCTCCTCTTTGCTGAACCCACTCAACTTCTTCCTGGGCGTTGCCCGGGCTGGGCTTCCAATTGATCCCACACTGGCATTATAGCTATGGCGGAGTGTTCGGGCTGGCGTAGAATCAGGGGAGAAGAGGACGCTCCTTCGGTTTTGGGGAGTTGCCGCAGGTGACCCTTCACGGATAGGAGTGCTGAGGCGGACCTTGCGAAGCTGATTTTCTAGCACATCGATATCCCCGCTTCGCTTCTCCACCATAGAGGTCATCTTGGTGATGGTTCGCATGACGGCATCAACCGTTGGCATGTTGGTGTTCCCCCTTCCAGTAGTTCCTGAAACTGATGCCAGTTTAGCCTTGAGCAGTGTGAGGGTCTCCTCGGTCTCAGCCAAGAGCTTAGAGAAATTGGTAAAATCGCGGCGAAGTTCGTTTTGTTGCGTGGCTTGTTCAGCACTAAGCGGCAGAGATTGAGTCGCTGCTTTCTGATCAGGGTCCAGTCTTGCCGCGATAATCTTCTTGAGATCCTCTTGCTTGGCTCGTAGTCGATGCATATCTCGCGTCAAATCTTGGCAGGCTTCAATCTTTTCCTCAAGATTTCGGACACGCCCGTTCTCCAGCTCGCCGTAGAGATCATCATCCAAAACTCTTCCCAGCTCGTCAACCTCGCAAAGCACCCAATCATCGGGAATTTCAAGATCCTCCTTAGTTCGACCTCCCTCTTTTCTGTTCTCCGTATGCCCTTTGACAAAGGCTTTTACAGACCGTGCATTCAACCCAACCGTATCAATCATAGAATTGATGTCTCGGTACACAGCTTCAACTTGTGAAGGAATGCTTTCCCCGGCAGGAGGGCCTGTGTTCGTATGAGCAATGAACTCATCCAGACCCAATGTACCCTCGACTTCCGAGGCCAGAATCTTCTGTACTTCGTCATCCTCCTCATCGACAAGGGGCTGTGTCTCTTCCGCCTCTTGTCGCGCCCTCAATTTTCTATTTTGTGCCAAGAAATGATCTTCAGCATTCGCATTGGTTTCTCGGCTGGTAATTGACCCCCTTAACTGTGACTGAGTTTGATGTCCTACAATCTGTGATGCCATTCCAGGCGCGCTCACCGATCTGGTATCGTTCCGCAGCATACGGCCAGGAATTGCGCGGACAGGGCTTGGAGAACGAGGGCTGCCTGCATTCGGGCGTGGAAATAGGGGGGCGTTACGGCTGAGTTCTCCGAAGAGGGGTTTTGACCGGTCCACGGTCGTATTGGTCACACTAGAGCCAACACCTCCAAAGGAGCTCTGGGGAGTAAAGCCAGGAGTTGTAGTCTGGCCGAGACCACTCGCGCTGGGACTCAAATCCTTCGCAACGTCAACGCCACTTCCTTCGGTAGCGTTGTCATCCTCGAAATCACTCTCATCCTCATCGTCATCAAGAGCGGGAGGGGCATTGAAGCTCGGGAATGAAGTGGGCGCCCCCGTCTTGAAGGATGTACTGGGCACGTTGGCTTCTGAGAAGATGGAAGGCGGTTGTGGAGTGGGCGTCTTGCTTGGCTTGGCAAAGTCAGGAGGTAAAGGAGCTGCCTCCGGGACCAATGAGCTTTCCTTGGGTTTTGAGACTTTCACGAAATCAGGAGGTAGAGGTGCGTCCCCGGCTCCGCTCTTCTCTGATGATGACTCTTCTTTCAGGCCACTGTCCTTAGTAGGCTTGGGTGTAACTACTGGGTCGGGAGGTAAAGGAGCTTCTACAACCTGGGACGAAGCAGTGGGCGCACTGGATGTAGCGGAGGATGAAGACGAGTCACCGAGAGGATAAACCAATTTGCTCGTGGTGTCCGGTGGTAGTGGTTCCTGCTCTCCAGGCTTTGATTTGGGCGTCTCAGGTTCAACTTGCTTCTTCTGGGCAAACAATCCGCCAAAGGGTGATGGTTTGGCTGGCTCATTCTTGGACCCAAATAGCCCCCCACTGGATCCCAGGCCAATGCTAGGCTGTCCAAAAATGGATTTACCGGGCGCCGTCGAGGTTAATCCAAACTTCGGAGGTGCCGGTGTTGTTGTCGGAGTTGTGGATTCCACAGTAGTTTGTGAGCCAAATATGGAAGTAGAGGGCTTTGCCTGGGGTGTTTGTTCGGTTGTATCCTCAGCATCCATATCCTCATCCTTTGAGGATATTGTTGACTGGGCCGGTTGAGTTTTTGCGTCGTTCAGGGCTGAACCAAATGCGGAGCCAAATAGTGAGCTACCTGAAGTTGTCGAAGGCTTTTCATTATCCGCAGCAGAAGTCGGATCGGGCTTGAATGAACTCTCAAGCTTGAAGGGTTGACCAAACAAACCACCTGAAGGCTTATCAGTCTTGGCGCCGAAGCTAGTATTTCCAGATGAACCGGATCCGAAAACACTGGTAGCACCTCCAGATGCCTGGTTTCCGGAACTAGCAAAGATGCTACCGCCGGAACTGTTGTTGGCAACTGAACTAAATCCACCCTGGCTGCTGAAGCTGGCAAACCCTCCAGATGACGGCGCTTGCGATTGGGCCGGGGGCTGCGCACTGGAGCCAAACGTGGATGTATTTTTGTTCGCAAAGGATGAAAATCCAGACTGTCCAAAGGCTGGGGTGGAGCCTGACCCGGCTCCTGCTCCCCAGGGAGAAGACCTCGTCCCTAATTGAGATGACTGCCCAAATGTGCTTGGCTTTCCAAACGCAGGGGCCGAGGGGGCGGGAGAGCTACCGAATGTACTAGATCCGAAGGTTGCAGTAGGTTGGGTTGGAGTCGTGGTCGAGGCTCCTCCCCAAGGTGAAGTTTTGGCTCCTAGCTGGCTTGAAGAGCCAAATGCAGGGGCAGGAGTGGTGGTGGGTGTTGTAGTCGATCCTAGGCCTGACATTCCCGTGTGCGACGAAAAGGGAGTCGAGGGTGGTTGTGAAGGTGCCGAGCTATCTAAAGAAGCCAAACCGGGGTATGGGGTTCCCTTTCTGATCGAATCGGTGTAAACAAGCCACCATGGGCAAAGAACACCCTCGTGTGTCAACACCCACAGTCCAGGAAGAGGGGTTGGTGATTCTTCAAGTTCTTCATCTGATGGGATAGGCTTGTAAACCTTGTCCTTGCTGGAAAGGTCCAGAGCAACTCCAATAGGGGTAGAATCATCCATGGAATCCGTCATAGGAAGCGTAGGCCTTTTGCTGTCATCAAGTAGTTCAGTCGTGACAAATACCCCGGTAATGGAGTCGGCTGGCTTATCAGTAGCAAGGGCTTTCTTAGATCTGGTCAGAAGTCCGATGTCTGTTGATGCAGTAGAGGCTACGATGAGCAGGTCCTGGATATCAGGAGGGAAGTCCCTCAACCTAAGGACTGAATGATGGGGGGCTTTCTCAGCTCCAAAAGGTTCAATAGGATCGGAAATCTTCTGGAAAGAAAAGGATGAAGGAGGTGTGCGTGTAATAATATTGTATACTGATGAAGGGGCTGATTCATCGTTGGAGGTGTAAATAGCCAACCAGAGATTGTTCTCTAGCCAAGTCAAAGAAGAGACTATAACATTGGTAAGTTTAGTTGCAATGACGGATAGAGGGAAAATAAACGATGAGCAGTTATTTCTTACCATGGTGATTTCCCAGATTCGGGGCTTTAGGGATTTCCGCCTTGGCTTCACCTTCAGGGGTCATCTGATGGATTGTGCCGTCTCCCAAGCCAGCGCATAGCTGCTTGCCTCTCGAACTCCAGCTAACAGAACTCACTTGGCTCTTGAGGACATTGCTGATTTTCCTCTCCTTGAGATTCGTCATGTGAAGATTGCCGTTGGTCGTCACAATAGCGCAAAGCTCGGCCTTTTCCGAAGTCGGGTTGGGTGCTAGTAGTCGCAACGACTCTCCGTTCGTCGGAAGCTCAAAGACGGAGCTTGTGGAGCCATTCAGCAGACTCTGAACTTCATAGATCGCGAGACCGCCTCCTGATTCCGCAGACAAAATGAGATAGTTTTCGTCGGCCGTAAATGCCAATTGGGATACTCGCATGGGGAGCGGCATCTTGAGTTGAGGCTGGAAGGACCGAATCTCCGACTCGCCTTCCTTGGGGTTCTCGAGAGCTTTGCGGACGGATTCGGTTGTCGCAAGTATAACATGGTCAGGTCCTGCGGCTGCAACAAGACCTCGTCGTGACGCGACACCGAGCAGAGACGCTGTTGGTGTAGGTAGAGGCGACCATAGCGAAGTCAGGCGAACTTTGGCCTCGCCGGCAACAGAGAGAAATCCTAGTTCCTGCGTAGAGAAAAGAAATGATCAGCCAAAAAGCGCAACACATACCGTGCCATTTCAGAATCACACCTACCTCGGTCGCGATGGTCTCTAATTCAGGTCCTGAGGCTGCACCTCCGGCATTCCCAGCCTGGGCGCCACCCGAATTACCAAAACTGAAGGCCATGGTCTCTGATAGATGGCCTAATTAAACGAATCCGATCTCATAGGTCGTTTCTGCAGATGGAGAGAACAAAAAATCCGGTATTTTGGTTCTTTTTCGACGACCGTCGCGCTTCACCTGATGATAGGCGCCAGGATCTTTAAAGCCCCAGGGAAGGGTTCCCCAGATGCCGTCGAGTTTGCAGGGGAATTCGTAAAGCGCACAATATCGATCGTGGATAAAAGGGATAGGATCGATCGAGGTCCAGGGATTCGAAGTCTTTGTGTTCGCACGGGCGACATACAATGGGCTCTTGAGCCTCTCTTATCCGTCCGTACCTGCTTGCACGGACCTTGAAGCAACTTTTTTGATGGCAGGAGCTCTACTACCTACCTAAGTCACGACATCACGTGGAGAACAGCTCCAGGCCGTGCAGCGCGCATCCAGCCAATCGCGTCACTGGGCTCCAGGCTCCAGGGGGATAGCTCGCCGCCTACCAAAATCCACCCTCCACCACCACCACAGCGCCCCGGTGCCCTGGGCCTCCATTCTGAAGGCAGCTTTTAGCCTCGTCATCAGCAGCTCTGCCTTCTAGCATCTTGACCCAACGATAACCCCCAGCATCCACCTCCCTCCACCAACTCCGACTCTGAACAACGACATTGGGGATCTCAGCTTCACCAGACTCATACAACACCAATATCAAGCGGATCTGGTGCTATTCTATTTAAATTGTACACCAAGGCGGATTCGGGCTCGAGACCAAGTCGGACGGCATTTGCCTAACTATTCAAGATGCCTGGCTTCGACTTCTCAAACTACAACCGCAATGCGGCTCTCCACGCACAGGGTATGCCTCTCCCCAAGGCTACCAGCACCGGTACGACGATTGTAGGGTGCATATTCGATGGAGGTGTTGTTGTACGTTTCTCTACCATCCCACTCCGCTCAGCATGAACCTCCCCCTCCATGGTATCGGTAGCTGGCAAACCACCCATCAACCTCAGAAGCTCACAAAACAACCCCCCGGAACAGATCGCCGCAGACACCAGAGCCACATCGGGCCCCATCGTCGCCGACAAGAACTGCGAGAAGCTTCACTACATCGCCCCCCAGATCTGGTGCGCGGGTGCGGGGACCGCCGCCGACACCGAGTTCACCACGGCCCTCATCTCCTCCCAGCTCGAGCTGCACGCCATGTCCACGGGCCGCAAGCCCCGCGTCGTCACCTGCATGACCATGCTCAAGCAGCACCTCTTCCGCTACCAGGGCCACATCGGCGCCTACCTCGTCGTCGCGGGCGTCGACCCCACGGGCACCCACCTCTTCACCGTCCACGCCCACGGCAGCACCGACAAGCTCCCCTACGTCACCATGGGCAGCGGCAGCCTGGCCGCCATGAGCGTCTTCGAGTCCAAGTGGAAGGCCGAGCTGACCCAGGAGGAGGCCGTCGAGCTCGCCAGCCAGGCCATCCTGGCGGGTATCTGGAACGACCTGGGCTCCGGCTCCAACGTCGACGTCGCCGTCATCACGCCCGAGAAGACGACGCTCAAGAGGAACCTGATCAAGCCGAACGAGAAGGTGCCCAAGCAGCAGAGCTACAAGTTTGCCAGAGGCACAACGGCCGTCCTGAACGAGAAGATTATCAAGAAGAGCGAAATTGGCCGGTACGTCAGTGTGCAGGAGGTGCCTCTCGAGTCCGACAAGATGGAGGTGGATTCTTAAACAGTGGGGTCATGGCGGCGTTATTACAGGCAATAAATAAGAATAAATGTTTCCAAATGATACACCATCAGTAGAAGCACATGCCTTCTACAATCCTTCCTCACTCAATATGGAATGTTCATTAAATGTGAGAGTTCTTTTCTTAAGTACTGACACCCCAGGATACGGGCGTTTCTTGCAGCTATTGACAGGCTTGCTACATTAAATAACGATGTGAGATGTGCTCTCATTGGATCGAATAAACAGTGCGCCTAGTATGCATGTGACTCTTATATAGACAGCCTTTTTTGGTCTTCCAAGGTTAACCGAGTGAAAATGTGTGACATCAAAGACAAAAGAAACCACTCCAGCTACCGATATCGAATTAAAGTGCGCTTCCCTAAAAAGGATGAAAAAGAGCGCCGCGATGTCGTGCGCCAGAGGCCGTTCATATCGTAATAACAAAGTAAAAGTCGGGAACGATTAGGGTATGCTTTGCATTGTACCATTCCGGTATGCAATGCCTGTGATCTCCGTCCAGAACTCCGTGGCATATGGGTGCAAATAAATGACTGTTTCGTGATCATGAGAAGTGCAGTGAGTTTGCACATAAATAAACCCCAGGGATAGCTTAGGACTTGAGTCCAAACATAGCCCTGGTGCGGGACTTGCTTCGAGCCTTTCGCTTTTCCTTCATGGGAGATTCCTTGGTGGTGGTTGTTTCTTCAGGTTCATCCATATACTTGGACTTGTGAATCCTGAATTCTCGTGTTAGCACAACATTCCATAACCCAAAGAAAATCGACGGGAACACATACCAACTGTTACCAACCATGCTCATTCCTTTAGCTTCGGCCATACGGTAAAAGCGAGCACTGGTTTTCAGGTTCTTCTTGCATCCAACACCCTTTGCATAACAGAATCCTGCTTCCAAAAGTGCATCAACGTCACCCCAGTCTGCGGTATGAGGTCAGCATCCAGTGCGCTCGAAAACGAATTAGGCTGAATAACTTACTACCAGCGATCTCAAAGCACCTCAGTGCAAGAGACTTGTCCTGCTCAATCCCCCAGCCATTCATGTGGCTAACGCCAAGCTCGTAAATGCTTAGTGCAAACTGGGCTTTCCGGGTTCGTCTCTCAATATAATCAACATGCTTTCCTTCTTTTACGTGGCCCTCGTCATCTGCGATCTCAATACTAGCATACTCGGCAGCCTTTCTCAGCCATTCGACACCTTCCTTCTGATTTTCACGCATCCCCCATCCATGTCGGCAAGCCAGTGCATAGAGAAGCATAGCGGTGGGGTTGTTATGACGAGCAGCATATCTCAGATGGTATGTTGACTCCTTCAGGGACCCGTTCTCGTGGCATTCGATACCCTTGGCGAGATGTTCCTCCACTGTCATCTCAGATGCTGAAGGTGCGGCAGAGCGGGCTGTAGTTGGTGGACGGATAGTGCTGGCCGAGTCGCTTGTAGTAGCAGAAGTTGGAGTCCTGGTAATTGAAGGTTTCGATTGGCCAGACTCCTCTGCTGGAGTTGAGCGAGAACGCCCTCTGGGCGCCACATCTGTAGATAGCCGCGTGGCGAACATGGGAGCAGACGTTTCGCGGCTGAGTGGTGGCAGCGTTGGGGTCAACGAGCTCTCTATACTACGTTTGCCTGCCTCTGTAGATGGTCTTGGCTGAGTGTTCAGGAAGTTGTTGTCCTCAGGAGCAGGCCTGACAGAAGAAGTCGAGGGTCGAGTTGGTGGGGAAGGAGGTGCTCCTGTTGGAAGGTTGCTACCAGGGATCGGTGGCTGATCCCATTGAAAAGATGCCGGTGCGGTTGTCTCCGAAGGCTCAGACCGCTGTATTTCCTTACCTCTGGGTAATGTGAACTTGGAGTATATATATGAAGGTGCGCCCCGTGCGAGATCATCGACAGCCTGATCTTGGAAGCTCTCACTATACATGCTGACCGGGGTGTGTGCTGAATCATCGGCCAGAATAAATGAGGGCTGGCTATCCGAAGAGGCTTGTCGAGATGGCGTACCGAGCCTTGAAGGAGGTTCAAAGTTTGGCGTCCCTGGCCTGCTCATGGGCCTAGAGAAGTTGAATGATGGTCTAGGCAAAGCCGAAGAGTCGGAGCCGGCAGATGGTGATCTCCCAGGACGACCAATCACAGGCGACATGTTAGAAAAGGTACCGCCACCTGATGACATCTTGCGGTGGCGTAAAGCTTGAGCGGCATTTGAAAGCTGAGCGGGTGGCTCTTCATCGTGTATGCTGAGCTGGGAGGATACGGTGCTCGACTTGCGGGGCGGAAGGCCACTCCTTGTAGCAGGCGGTGCTAAGCCCAGGTCATCCAACGACCGTGGGTTTGGCTGTTCAGGCGTTTCGGGGCGAGGAGTGTTGTGTGTTGTAGATGGGAGAGGCAACGAATGATCTCTACGCGTTGGTGAAGAACTTTCTGTTCTCTTCTCGGGCTGCGATCGCGTTTCTGTCAATGGGGATGGTGAACGTTCGGTCCTTCCACCGAAGAATGTAGAATCCTCCTCAATGAGCCTTAACCGACCGCGACCTGGGTCGCGAGGTGGAATCGCTGGTTTCGACGACGACTCTTCAGAAACTGACGGAATTCGACTCATCCTTGGGTGCATCGACATTGGTCTATCGTGTTCATCGAATGGCTCCTCGGTCTCTGTCCTCAAGCCCAGGCCAGGGCTTGGCTGTCCAAACTGCATCCTTCTTTCTTCTTCCTCCTCTTCCTCCTGGGACATGGATCGAAAGTAGTCGGAACGACCCTGGACGATAAGCGGACTTTCTACAGTCAATGGAGGCAATCGGCTCATCCTCCTTTCCCTAGAGCCCTCCTGGAGTTGCTTCGCCAACAGGCGACTCTGCAAAGCAAAGGCATCGAGGGGAGACAGCTCAGGGGGTGCTTCGCCAGCTATATGCATGCGCGGTGATCGCAAGCCTCGCGAAGAGGCGGAGTTGACTGACTGTGAGGAGTTTAACCTCAGGTCCAGGATATTCGGTCGCTTCGACATGGTGGGCAGCGGTTCAGTCGGCCCTGGGTCAACTGTTGAATTGAACCTCTCCTGCCCTTTGCGAAAATGAACCAAATTCGAGTCCTCGTCGAGGGCTTAGACGGTCGGAAAAAGCACGTCTGATGTAGTCGCAAAGTACTCAATTGCCCCGACCAGTAAGCTTCCCCAAAGATGAAGGACAACCTTTGCTTAGACGATGATGGCAAGGATATGTTGATCTCCGACACCAAGAATGCTCATTCGGGAAAGATGCATTGGCTGCACAACGAGATGATGATCCGAGGCGGCAAGAGAGAACAAGATGCGCCGGGAGTTAAAACCGTCTAGTTGAACAGTGTATGTGTAGTCGATCGAAGGGGAGAGCAGCTACACTGGAGTGTCGTAGAAGGAGAGGACGAGCGCATGGGGCTACTGGCCGATTCGGAAGGTCTGTGTGCTTGTCGAGTGGTAGGAAATTAATGCAGCCCAAATTGCGCGGTCGAGGGGAAATAAAATTGACCGGAAAAGCATATACACTTGGTAAGAAGCGAAAATCAAGAAAATGGACTCGGAACGAATGACTGCGATGCGAAAGCGCAAGTTTGGATCCAAGGGTCTGATGCGAGTGTGGCAGCTGGAGGAGGTCCCGCTTGGCGTGTTGTGTGCAGATTGATCAACGAGGAGCTAGCGGAACAAGCTTGTTCAGTGTCGCGAGAGGTCCAGGGCCTTGACAAACGAGAGATGTCGCGAGAGGAGACGAGACCCCAGGGAATGGCACCCTGGTGTTGTTGGAGAGTGATCGGTGAATGAAAGGAGACAGCAGGTGAGTGCCGTGGAGAGTGCGTTGTACAGATCAATAGCATTTCATGGGGGGTTGCCAGACAAGCGGGAGCGGACGTGGCAGGGCCGTTCGTTCAGTGGCCCGGCCAATGTTAGGATGTTTAATGCTAGGTCAGTGCTTAGCGTTCTGGTACGTAGCATCCGTCACTGCTGAAATGGAGCCTCGCCCCTTGACACCCCGCCGAGTGTCTTCTTCCCGTCTGCTAGCACCGAGGAGAACAGTGCCTCTGCCTCGCTGGCTCGAGGTACCGGCCTAGCGCAGGGAGACGACGCGGTACGAGCACGTCAGGTACTGCTTACACAGGAGGGGCCAATTTGCCACGCACTTGGGCCAGATCCATGGTCACTGGTTCCGCCCTCGGAGGTCCCGATTGCAGTCAGTGCGGCGGCAGTGACCCACCCGCATACACAGCAGGGTCCTGCCGCAAATCATTGGCAACCCACAGCCACTGTCTGGGGTGCATCTGTCTGTCGCATCCACGCTCATTTCACCAGCATCCACTCAACGGTAAGGAGCGTCCACAGCGGGGGCTGCTACAGGCACCTTGGTTACAGAGGCCAAGGGGTTCTAATTGGCGTCTCCTTTCTGATTTCTCGTGTTGAATCCAGATTAAAAGATTGGGGGCCCGTCTCCATTGGGATAGCCTGTGGACGAGAGGGGCCAATTGCACCAGCCGAATGCAACCCTCCGACCGTTTGTGTCTCTATCCTCCACCAGAGTTTTGCTCGCGTGTGAAGAGTGTTTCAGCCGGGGCAAGGGGCAGCATAGAGGAGAGCAAATCTAATCAAACTACCTGCTATGTGCTTGCAATCCAGTCATCATTACGTGCTGCAGTTCCTCTGTATCCCGCAAGGGTGAAGCATGATCCAGTAGGGGCCCCAGCACTGCCATATTTTGGCTTTGGAGTTTGCAGCAAACCCATTTTTACTAAGTTGCTGGCAGCAGGTTTGGTGTTTACTCAAAAGCACTAGCAACTTACAAAGCTCTGTTTAGCCTCCACAGCAATGACGAACGGCTCTGCCGCAGTACGTACTAGCATCGACGTGTGCCTTTACGCGTGGACGAGGTCCAATATTCGTGTTATTTATAGACTAGATGCGGGCATCAATTGCACTGCCAGCTTGGTTATTGTATGTATGTAAAGGTATGCGATGCACTGACACAACCAACATATCCAAAGTGTGTTCAGCTGAGGCCAGGACGGTCTGTTGGGAGGTAAGCGAGCTTGCACTGCCTTGGTTTCTCAGTCAATGAGACGACGTAACCAACACGCTCGCCTGAACATTGGTGGACTAGAACCATTAATTGGGTTTAATAGTCTGTGAGCATCGAATCTCGTCTCCTCAGCTTGTACTGCCAATCTGATTTGTGTTCAGTAAGAGGGCCATAGCACAGGGTGCATGGTTTACAAACGCTACTGCGCCAGAAGATGCCCGGTGACATCAGAGCAAGGGAGCACTGTCGCACCTCTTCCTACTGGGGGCTGAGACACCATTTTGATCTGAGGGGGTAAAAAAAAAGTTCATGTAAGAATCTATTCTTGATTGGCCAATGTCTCCCACACTGCAGCACGCCATCAGACATCCCTCGGATCACATCCATGATCAGCGCCGCCCGGTTTCTTGCATGTAGGTAGGCACTAAAAGACCCAACAAAATATGTTTTGAAGCTGCTACAGTGCTCTACAAGACGAGGAAAAAAAGTAAAGAAAGAAATTCCAGCCCATAACGCCCTATGCCCGGTATATGCGTCGAAACTGCCCGTAGCAGCCATCAAATCCTCAAAAAGCAAACTATAGCACAGACACTGTCTCTCCAACCACACCTCACCCGCCACTCCTGACATCTTCCTGCCCACTCCTACTGATGTCAACTAAATTCAAACTTGAAATCCATATGGGTGGGGTCCTCTTGCTTTCCAACTTTCGTATGTGGTCGCTTGTTTTGTTTTCCCTGTCTTCCTCGCCTCAACCGTCTACGTTTATAGGTCCTTGGATCGCATCTTCCTGAGCCTCGTTGTGCCCTCAAAGAGACCCCTGTCAATGGCAGCAGCCACGGTCAAAGTTCCACCAACGATAGCACTGAGACCAGCCAAGAATCCAAGGAATGTCTTGCTCTTTTCCTCTCTGTTAATGACCTTCATGGGAGAAATGTCCTATCGCTTGTTAGCATTTGCTATTGGATCCATCTTGCCTACATTTCGATCACTTACATAAGAGAAAAAGACGCCAGGAATTCCGCCACGGGTATGCAGTCGCTCAGGGTGTCCCTCGGCCGAATCATCAGCCTCGGACAAGCTTCGCTTGTGGCTGGTGACTGAGTACTGGTGCGTCTCAAGGCTACCATCGGCAGCTTGGCCAAGAGTACCAAGGTCAGGAGACTCGTTCAACATATCAGCAACTCGGCGGATGTTCTTTCGCCAGCCGAGGGGAAGATATGACGTAGGCACAATCTTAACAAAGTACATGTAGTTGAAGTTGGGGTCCGGAGTGTCCTGGCGAGTTCCGTCGAGCGGGTTGAGGTGATGGTTGGTCCAGGGAAGCTCGGCACGACCCAGCTTCTTAGAGAGAGACTCGGGGAGCTGGGGGCCAAAGCGGAGGGAATGGATTCGGTGGCTGAAGTCGTGCTTGACCTTGTCGTTGGGCACCTCGAAATAGGTCTTGACATCATGCACATGCATGTTCCCGTTGCTGAAGCTGCGACCGGGAGCAAAGTGGAAGTTTCCAACAACCTTGTTCACCTGGATGTTGCCCTCAATACGGCAGCCCTCCTCTCTCTCAGCATCCAGCCTCTCGCCATAGTGCTCACGTTCACACTGCTCGACGTTCTCGCCTCGACCGAAAGCCCAGTTCGCTTGCGCATAAGCCTCTCTAACTTCATCGCAGGTGTTGCAGCATCCTTGCTTGGACGCAGTCGCCGGGGCTCCGGCACCATAGCAGTCACCACAATAGTCGGGGTCCAAGTGATCAGCACTTTCATCGTGGAGGGCAAGAGCGCGCACATCGATCACACCGCCGCCCTTGGCCTCAGACTCGAGACGGACTTTTTGGACACCGTGCTTAACACCATGCTGCTGTTCACCTGAGACATCCATGACATCGAGCGTCAAGAGCTGGCAAGGCAGATGAGGAAACGTCATGTTCAGATGGATCTCCATTCGTTCGCCTGAGGACGAGGAACGGATTAGTATGATTCACGGTAACCAATTGCATCCAGAATGTCCAATTGTGAGTTTACACGCGTACGCACCTCTTCCCTTGTCTACAACCAGCTCTGGCTGTACTACCACCCGGCGATAGTCTGCCCATTCACCCCAAGCCAGAAACAGGACAACGATAATGGACACAATCGTAACAATACCACCGCTCGTCGTGCGAATGCGAGCCTCATCGACCGTCTTCGTGAAGGCATCCAGCCTCGTGAACCTCGACTTGGGAGCCATAGTTGCGAAGTCGGTTTGCCGTCAGGAATGGGAGCTATCGCGGAGCTGTCCCCGGAACTTTCGCGAGGCGCTAGAGAACCACAATGGAGAGACTAAAAGAAAAGGAAAGCGCGCATGAAGGAAGAAGAAGAGAATATTTTTCCGTACGCCAGGAAAAGAGTGAATTGGCAACCCAAGGTGCTTGCGGCTGGTAAGAAGACAAGGGAAAGGTGGACTCTAAGTTGAGGCCACAGTCGCAAGTAGAGCTAGTTACACGCGGCTGACCTTAAGTTAAGGCCCGTCTAGGAATGTGGCGGATGAGCAAGGGTCCGGGGTGTCCAACAGCCCGGCAAAAAGTCGGGCGGTATTGATAAGAGTCTTATCGGCGCCAAGTGCAGGTTAGGCGCGACAACTTGAAGCTTCAGCCTGCCTAGTGGATGTTGCTCTCGTCGCAGTTATTTTCCTCCTACGTTGTAATGGTAGATGGAAGGCCAGAGACGAGCTCTTAACGCAATCACTGACTGGATTCTTCCTCAAGAGCATGCGACTAGCTCTTGGTATATTTCAATTATCTACTGTTGACCGAGTGCGACTTAATCCGACCACTTTATAAGGCTGTCGAAGCTTCTTCCTCTGTCCACCACCAACCCGAGTCCAAGCTTCGCAAACCATTGTTCGCGCATCCAGCCAGAACTCTGCCACAATGTCTACAAGGCCACCTTCACGCGTTGTCTTTGTAGGCAACATCCCCTATGGTGTGTACTCTCGTCCTCCAATTCTCAGTCGCGCTTCTTCGTCAGGTTCTAACTCTTGGATAGGTCTCTCCGAAGAGCAGATCACCGAAATCTTCAACAGCGTTGGCAAAGTCGAAAAGTTCCGTTTAGTATATGACTCGGAGTCGGGACGCCCTAAAGGCTTCGGATTCGCGGAATATCTCGATCCTGGTTCGTCCCAACCTTGTGGCACGGTGACACAAGATCGCACCACCATCCCCAAGATCTGATCGCCCACTAACTTCCATCTTCTTCAAGATTCGGCCTCTTCTGCTGTGCGAAACCTGAACGACTACGAAATAATGGGCCGGAAACTTCGTGTAGACTTCTCTAACGAGCAGAAGTCGAATGAGGACGGCCACAACCAGGTGAGTCAAGCTGTTGACGATTTCTCACGTCTTCCCGTGTCCTGACCTGAAATCTAGGGATCTGGTAGTCACCAAGCTTCTGGTGCTAATGGCGCCGGCGCTGGAAACTATTCGCAAAGCACATCTATTCCTCAGCTCCCCCCTGGCAAGGAACTCCCTCCAGGCGTGAAATGCACCGATGCCATCTCTCAAACATTAAACACCCTCCCACCCTCTCAGCTGCTTGACATCCTCGCCCAAATGAAGACTCTTGCTACAACTGAGCCGCAAAGGGCTGCTGAGCTGCTTTCGCAAGCACCACAGCTAGGTGCCGCCATTTTCCAGGCCCTACTCCTAATGGGCCTCGTCTCGCCCGAAGCCATCCAACTCGTGGTCCAGGGTGGCCCCCCTCCTCCTCAGGCCTCCAGCCCAACCTTCCCTCCCCCTCATGTATCTGGATACCAAGGCGCCCCGGTCGCCAACAGCACGCCACCGGTTCCCGGCGCGCCCTACGCACCTCCTCCTGCTCACGGGTACGGCGCTCCCCCGGCTCCTGTCGCTGTTCCTGCCGCAGCCCCCGTTGCTGCTCCTCCAGCTCAGGATCCCGAGGCTCTTATGAGAGCTGTTCTGGAGCTTACCGAGGATCAGATCAGCATGCTTCCCGAAGCTGAGCGATCCCAGATCCGAGCTCTTCGAGCCCAGTTTGGGGCGCAACGAAGATAACATGTTCGGCCGTCTTTCACTCACTTTGATTAGCACCGGAGTTGCTAGCCTATCGAGAGATTTCATCGATAGATCTCGGGTTGTTTGGGCTGAATTTTCAGAGAGGGGCCTTTAATATCAAGCAAAAAGAACATCATGTGTGGTGCTCTCATTGCCAACAAAAAAAAGCAGGCACCGAGAGAACATCTATGTGGTCTAGCCTTGATGTGGCTACGGCTCCAGGAAACATTCGTTTTAATGTACAAAATCATTCATAAGAGATACTATGGCAGGGGGGGATTCATCTGAGCAGGCCTTCCGACTGTACATGTCGACTTTTATGGAGGAGCTAAAGGGAGTCAGGAGTTAATCGGCAGCTCCATTGCTGTTGTCGCAAATTGGGTACACACTTAGATAGGTAGTTAGCTTTATTATATCCAGGGTGGGCGAACGTCCCTTTTCCAATCTCTACTTGACATCGCGGTTGTTCACTGATGTTGCACACAATTCAAGAATCATTGCTGTGTACTTCTTTTCGAGGTTTCCGTCTCTATCTATGAATCCGCTTCGGTTCCGCTCCTTTCAAACTAGTATATACTCATATCCAACAACACGCCGCGCAGCCCCGAAGCTCCAGTCTATATATCGAACAACTCCTAAATCAATCTTGTGAGTAGAAAACCAGTGGAGTCCGCTTTCTCCAAAAACGCCTTAACATGAGCATAGCTGAGCTGTGGACGGTATGCCAATCGTGTAATGTGCCCAATGCTGATTATGTGCTTCTTTCCTTTCCCTTTGGAGGATTTTTTTTTCTTTGTGAAATTGTTTTCGTATCCATCTGCCAAGTTCGTCTGTCAATTGTCCCGACTTAGACAATCTTGTAGACCCTCTTGGCGATCATGTAGCATCCTATTCCAAATATGAACAATCCTGCCGTTATACAGACGAACCAGGTCAAGTCGCCTTCGTACTCCTGGCCGGGAACCCAGACGTTCATGCCCCAGAGACCGGTGATGATGTTCATCGGGAGGACGATTGTGCCCAGGACGGTGAGCTTTCCGAGAACATCTGCGGTCTGCTCTTGGCGTTCGTTCATGCGAATATTGATCTGCGCGAGATAATTGCCATGAGAACGAGCCAGTATTCTAAGAAAGAGGAGGTGTTAGTAGATGCATAATGCAGAGTGGATGAGATTGGGTGGTACATACTTTTCATAGTGCCCCAAGTTCGAGGTCATGGTCACGATGTGATCTTGAATATCGCCAAGGTAGAGTCCAATTTCCGAGCGGGGCGCAACTTCCCAGCGCTCATTGCACCGCTTGGCAAATCCCTTGATAACATCCGCCTTGTTTCCCAGAAGACGGTACAGGCTCATGACTCGCTTGCGGCAGTCGCCTACACGCCGGAGCATGTCTCCTGTCGACTCGGCGACGGTAGAGGCGTCGTCTCTTTTCTTCTCCTCGTGCTGCCGCTTGTCAGTGACAGAGTGTACCCGGAGAATGGCCTCGTCGATCTCGTCCACTTCGTCTTCGATGTTTTGAATCAGAGGCTGGAAGACGTCGGTGATGTCGTCGATGAGGGCGTATGAGATCCAGTCTGACGAGAGTATCAGATAATCCCGAAGTTGTCGAATACGGCGTCGCACGTTGGCAGGATGGGGCGTGACCGAGAAGTGGAAACTGAGCACACCCTCCCGGAACACAACCACATACATGTTCACGGGCTCTAGATAGTTTTCACTGTTGATGTCCTGATCAAAGGTGCGATAGTTGACGAAATAGTAGTGCCGGAATAACTCGACCTTCTCTCTGGCTTCTTGTAGCATGATATCTTCGGCTGTAAGCGGATGGATACCAAAAGCCTTTGAAATGACCTTCATCTCGGCCTCGGTTGGACAGAGCACGTTAAGCCACCATACGGGGCGTTCACCGTACCGAATTTGCTTCGGCTTGGGTTCTGGGTCATTAGATGACTGTTGAGAAGGCTCTTGGGTAGGTTCCTGGGACGGCTGTAGAGAAGGCATTCGCGAAGACTCGTAAGACGTTTGCTGAGATCCTTGTCGTGAGCCTCTCCCAGCGGTTTGGTCGAGCGACTTTGGGTTAGTCGGCGAGACACGACCAGAGCTTCCGGAGGGAATGTCCTGCTGAGGAGAAACCACTTGCTCGCGGCGGCTTTCCGCTACTGATGGCTGTCGGGAGGGGATCTTGGAATCACCATCGACTCCTCCACTAGGACGGTGCAGCTTGGCGGACGTCAGAGCCTCCTCCTCCTCATCACTGCTCTCGCCGTCGGACAATATCCTTGGTTCGGGGATGAACAACTGTTCAAATCCGCTCCCAGGCTGTACGAGCTCCGAGATGGTCTGGCTGTGGATCGTACTCTGGAACTCTTCGTTGAAATAGGTAAATCGATAGGGGCTATCCCCCTCGGTTTCGTACCAACCCTTGCGCACTGGGCGCAGGCGTCCATTGATGAGCTGAGGCTCCGTAATCCTCTTAACACGACGTTCCTCACTTCTATCCTCCTTCTCCATATGCTTCCACTCTTCGAGGATTGACAGATCGGGCCATTTACCGCGACGCCGCCGTGTCCTAGGTTTGAGTCCGAAATCTCGCTCTTGTACATCATCGTCGCCGTTCTCTGACATGCCCGACACAGGGAAGCACACGTCCTTCTCCGCCCTGTTGTCCCGAAGCGCCGCTCCACCGGTTATGCCATCATCGTCCTGACTGAGGTGCCCGGGACTATCATCATGGAGATCGATCTCATCTCTGATCATCACATCACCAAGGGTCATATCAATACGGTCGATTGCTCCGAAGTTCGGCGATCCGGGGATGGAAGGTGGGTTGTTGACATGATGATAGCGGTCCCTGGCTCCGAATGCAGCTGCGCCTCGCCTCGCATTCGAAGATATACTCGAGGCCTCGCGGCTCCGCGGTCTGCTAGAGGTTGAGAATCCAGCACCATAGCTCGAGGCGGCCCCGGTATATGAATCCTTTCGTCGCGCGGGTTCCGCGATCAACGGAGTACGTTCGTCCCAGTTGTTCATGGGATCCTCATCATCACTGTAGTTGAGGTTTGGTAATGTTCGTCTTCGACTCCCTCCTGGTGTGGTTACGAGGGGACTTGGTAGAGTGCCAGAGGAGAGTGCGGGACCAACTGTAGAGGCCCTCCTCAGTCGCATAGGCTGGTGTTCTCTATATGGGCGCAGGCAGGTCAGCAAGAGGAAGGCGGGCAACGACCATTATGGAGTCTCATATGGTGCAGATACGCACCTATGATCAAGCAGGGCCTGGCTGTCAATGCTAGTCCCACTCAAGTTGGCAGAGCGGATCTGGTATAGTCCGTCACGCGGAGGCTCGTCTGCGTCGCTGTGGTTGGAGTCGTCGTCCAGAATAGCAAAACTCCTCCTCCGCTGGCGCTTCTTCCTCCCACCTCGGTGATTCCTCCGCTTCTTCCCGGGCGGGCGCTGCTGCTGCTGATCCTGGTTCTGACCGTGACTGTGACCTGGTGCCTGTGCCTGACCCGGATGGGCGTTGCTGGATTGCGCGGCGGATGCCATGGCGGGTCCCGGTGCGCCAGTTGGCGCCTTAGATTTGGGCATGAGGCTCACCGGGCATAGAAAGAAGCCTAGATCGGAATCTCTGACCAAGACAAGGCGGGCGATCGACGGGGGGGAGAAGAAGAATAAATGGATATGATGGTGCGCTGTCGAGCAGAGATCCAATGGCAGTCACCACCTCACTTTTCTGCTGGCCATCAATTGATGTCTGAGTTGGAGGCTGGGGTCAATTAGCGTCGCGTTCGGTCTCTCCACCTCTGTTGCTGCTGAAGTCTTTCAGTGAATGATGTCAATGATCTTAGCTCCAACCTACTAACCTGGTAAAATCCCAGACTTGGTACTAGGCCCGGGCAATGGCTGGAATAGGCACACTCAAACCTTTTCACATAAGTAAGGTAAGGACCTGACTTTCTTATGAAAACTATGTACTAAGCACAAAAATAAGGAAATAATAAATTATTCTATAAATTTAGCTCGAAATTGTGTTCGTTACCAGGTTGATTGTGTTGAAATTGTGTTGCAATTAGATTTTAGTCTCACAGCGCCACATCGACCGGGGAAACAGCTAAGCTTATCGCCCAGCGAGACGATGCGATAGTGCGCTATCGACAGCTGCCTGCCATCTCTGGACCCTGGACAGGTCTGTTTCACCTCGACTGACGGCCTCTCTGACCTTGTTGACATAGTGAGACCTACCCGGCACATGTGACCAATATCGGACCAACTCGACAGACAGCTGCACTCTTTTGCGCAGCCGAGGACCATGTGGTGAATGGATGCATGCCATCTGGATGTCCGCATGGAATGAATGGCTCGAGACGAGCGGTGGGCTCTATGCACCTACACCGATGGAGTTTGCCACTACTGCAAGCTGCTGCGCCTAGTAAGCCGCATCACCCTCACTGCGTGGTATTTTGTGGAAATGCCATGCAACGTGATCGACGATTTGACCTAGATACCGGGTTGTTTCCTCCGAGTGTCGTCTCACAGAGCCAAACTGTTGGTAACCCAGCTGGACGCACGCGACAGATTACCACCTTCGTCAAGTCAAAATTTTCATTCACATCTATTCTCTCGCCTTGGTGTGTGATAGAGCCGCTTTTCTCTAAGCTAGGAATGCACACTTACCGAGAAGCGGAAGGTTCATGACACAAAGCATCAGGGAAGGCACCGATCAAATGAAGCGGCACGATCCGAAGTGGGCCGGCCACCTTCGACAACGCATACATCAACGAGAGGGTCAAATTCGACCTACGGAATGCGTTTCTTCTTCCGACAAGTGGAAGAGCCCTTTGTGCAACAGCTGCCCTGGCCCACTGGCTGCCTTCTTGAACAGCTAATGATGAAGAGGCTAAGTAGCCTACCTGGCCAGTTGTAAGCTAGTGAATCCGAACGATCGAAGCTGAGATGACAGACCTGATTAGCCAAACCCTCTATTACACAGCTAGTTGTTTGACCTAGATACCTTCCTTACTATAGCATCCAATGGCTTAACCAGGCATGTTTCAGAGAAGCCTGGCCACCACCACGTTGCCCACGCTGCTCTGGCAGGAGGCGCAAAGTACTCATCACAATAAAAGATCAACTTGAAGCTAGTAGGTTGCATCTTCGCTCTCGCCTCTATATCCCACTATGCTAAAAACTGGCGAATTCAATAAGTATAGTTGATTCTATAGGTCTTGCAGTAAACTGGGAGTTTCAAGTTTAGAATAGTATATAAAATCCGAGATCTTATGTTGAATAAATATACGCTGCCCAGTACTCCTTGTGTTCACTCAAATTCGTATTGTCCATGTCCGTATATCAATTGTTTTGTTTCCACTTGTAGCAAATGATCAATTTAGTGTCCCGTTTCTTCTATCACCCAGTTAGGTGTCACGTATATGAGAGGTCTCACTGTACTAGCTAACCAAATGATGTATCGCCGGAATCTCTATAGTTTCACAAGCAGGCTGTCGGGATTAGCTGTTGCCTTATCCTGTGATAAAAATCCTCTTTGAAGTATGGAACTCTGGCTACCAGCCATGCAGAAACAACAGTCCAATATAGCAAGGGTAGTGTTAAGGAAACTTTAATTGTGTTGCTAATATGGAAGGTTTTCTTCTGGCAAAAGAAAAAAACACATAAATGCCACCTGCATACTATAGTTGCACCCTCTTCAGTCCATCTCAGCACTCTAAGCACTCAGCTTATACTCCCTATCCCCTCAACCCTACAAGGTTCCTTGATGTCTACCAACGCTTCTACTGGTGCGTAGATTGCGTCAAACTTTCTTGGACGCGGGCCTGACTGGCTGCTTGGGCTTGACTGGCTGTTTGCGCTTGGTTGATTTGGTGGACTGGTCCCTGATTGCCGGATTGCCACCCTGCCTATCTGAACAAAAGACTAGAGGCGGCCTGACGTTAAAGTTAGCAGAACAACCGCCGCCATCCATGTTACTCTAAGTTTTCAAATTAGAAACAAACTTTTAGTGTTTACGTTCCGGCGAATTGATTGCTTACCTTGAAGTTCTCACTGCACTTTGCGCGGATGGTTCCTTTTTTCCACCACCGACTAATGGAACCATCAGCTCTGCGTCTTGTTCCTGAAGACCTATAGCCTGTTACAGGGCAGTAATTTTCATACTTGCTGCAGAACTGGATACTAAATGTTAGTAAAACAACGAGCCTCATGGTGAATAGACCAGCTAGGTGTGGCCGATATGAAGACACAACAAGGATAATAGTATGACCTACCGGAGGAACACCCTCCTTGACTCCCGTATTGGGATCTGTCTCAGAAGTTATTTATGTTCTTAGTATTGATGCATGTCGACTACGGCGGTGGCAGGGAAACGAGCTGACGATTAATTTATCTGCGCATGAGTCCGAACCCTTCTTCTCTTTCCATGTCGACTCAATTACGATAACCATCACCCGTGAATACACATCCCTGCACTCCGCAAATCATCTCAGTCATCAAATGACATTTCATAGGAACGCCAAGTAGGTAGTAGACTACCAATGGAACATACTACGTACACATGCAATGTTAGCATAGTCTCCCCTTTTTGAGTCAATTACATCTTTTTTCAAGTTTCCAAGTAAAAAAAAGTGCATCCGTGCGTACAGGTGCCTAAAAAAAACAGAACGTGAGCGTGGGCCTACCTCGCATTGCGTGGTTGGCAATGCCCGTATGCGAGAATATCACCAACAAGAGTATGCAGTCATACGTATGTAGTATCAGCCACCAACAGTTCATGCGAGTGACGAACAAAGTGACAGGGGGCAGCCAGCTGCAAGGCCAGGGATGTAGTCGTTTTGTGTGCCTGTCTGAGGTCCCTTGAGGCAAATTAAAATGGTCGCCCCCGGAACCAACAGTTCATAGACGTGCAAGCAAGCACTTCAGGCGTCCATCATCTTTTCATCTCTTATCTCAACTGTCGGCTGAAACATCCTCTTTGCTTCTATCAAATCTAAAGATGGGCTATACTGCAGAATGGTCTGCACTACAGAGGGGTCTAATCGATGGTGTCATCCAGAGAGGCAACCAGGAAACCCTCAGCGGCACCATCCAGTCTTCCCTCACTGCAATCACATGCGGGTACATAAAACGCAGCCGATCAGAGGACTCTCTTAATAAACACCTCCAAGACACTTGGTACACGCTCATTCAAGCAGGCAAGCACATCGCCACACACGAGGTTCATCAGGATCTCGTCGTACGTGAACTTGTAACTATCAGAACCCTTGGGCTCCTGCAACGCTCTGCACCAACGGGAGCGGATGTCGACAATGACTTTGGAATGAATCCCGGCGATCCACAGGGCATTATTACCTTCTCTGATGGCAACACGTTTTGGACCGGCCTGCCCCTCCTCTCAATGTGTCTTACTGATGAATTCACTAAGCGCTACTATGAGAAGGACTACAGCAAAGAGCAGCGAGATAATATGGCAGGCTTTATTGGACGACTCTTAGCCGCTGGTTTCTATGATGGTCCTGCTCTATGTGCACTATCATTATTCCGGGAGACGTTGGAGACCCCACGACCGCTAGTTGAAGATGAAATTAGCAAGGAAGACTCTGCCGAGATACACTTGCCAGTAGAAGACTTGCTAGATGCTCTCACAGGCTTGTGCCACAACTCTAGATTTGGCCTTGCGCTCTTGAGCAGCAGCCAAACATCAGAAACCACGGCAAGAACCATCAAGACCAACCCAGCCGAATACCTGCACCTGTCTGGCCTCGGTGAACTAGCCCTCCAATCTGGCATCATCGCCGATTTCCCGCCTAGTGGATATAGCTCTCAGCGCTGGAGCTTCTGGGTCCAACGGCTTGCCGAGCTGACCCGGTGCGGGATCAGGAGCATTGAACATGAGGCAAAGTCTTGCTTAACGGGGATGAAATGGGCAGGAGACGACACCGAGCTCCTCCCGAAACTAATTCGCGAAGAGCTTATTACATGGGAGGAGGACGAAGAGGTAACCTTCAATATAGCACACTACCCAGTAATACACACTTTGTTTAAGCCAGATTACTCATTACACAGGGAAACCTTCTGGCGGTAGAGATTTTGAGAAAATCAAATTATGAAAATGACTATACTCCTTGCCCCATGCAAATAACGTTCTAATCAAAGCAGCCCGACGTATTTGAATTGGTCTCGTATTACGTCGCTAACAAACCATATCCTTTTCCGTCACCTTCGCCATCACCATCGCACCGGTCAGAAAATCATTGAAAGCTCCATAATTTCACAAGCAAGCTGTCGGGGTTGGCCGTTGGTTCATCCTGCGGTAAGAAAACCCTCTTTGGGATATGGAACTCGACCACCGGTGCCTTTCTCACGTTTTTGGTCATCTCTGCCTCCAGTAGCTGTGACAGGTTAGTACGAACAACGATGCGCTAAGGCAGTAGTGATCTGAGGGGAGAACATACCGTGGCATAGGAGTGATCTAAGAAGTCTTCCATATTGTAGGACTGCTTTGTGAATTGGTCCGAGATGATCTTGGCAATGGTAGCTACGTTTGGATGATAGTGTGACTGGAGTTGCTCGATTTCCCACAAGGAGCTGTCGATTGCCCCCGTCTCCATAGGGTCCGTCTCGTCCGGGAGGAAAGGGTCCTCAACGCCATTGTTTTGGATGAGCTTTTTGATCGACGGATCCTTGTTTTCCCGGTGAATCATAAGTGTGCAAGTAGGATGCCTCCTGAGCTGATTGTATATCCAAGGAATGACAAACACTACTGCACTGGGCGGCGCATTCAGTGAGAGCCGTGAGAGCCTCTTGATGAAACTAGCCACCAAGGCAGCGGGAAGATGAGTTGATCCAAGGAAGGTGTCTAGAAGACGAAAGAATCTCGATCGATGCTTTGAGTGCAAGATGGACCTGTCAAGCAGAGAGTAGAGTTTGTGGTAGAAAGATGGGTAGTCGAGGTTGCGCTCCTGAATCAGATAAAATACACCTGACAGAGCAAGCAGCGACATGGAGCCTCCGGTGTCGTATGAGTGTGTTAGGAAATCTGCCAGCAACTCGGGTTTTGTGAACCAGGGAGCGATTACTGTGGACATGATGTTCAGAATGCTCTTTCGCTGCTCTTTGCTTTTCGCAATGCCCGTGAGAGCAAGCCATGCTTCCTGACCCTGCCTCTTATGCTGCGTGACAGAGCGTAGGTTGTGGTTCTTCTTCTTGGGCGCCGGTACGTAAAAGTCCTCAAGCTCTTCTGCCGACTCGGGAACTCCATCAAGCGCAGACAACATGCTTAGAGCGTGATCGAAGACCTCAGCTTCAGAGACAACATCCACCGAACTCTCTATCGCAGACCTGAATTTCCAAGTCAGTTTAAATGTACCTATAGAAACGTAGACATAACTTACTTGATTGATTTGAAAGTATAAAAACGAATATCATCATATCCTTCTGCGTACTCCTGCATGAAGGTTCCTCTTACTTCATCGTTGTCTGTCTGAAGCAAAGCCACAATAATGTTCTGAAGGAAGTTTGTGGGGAAGGTGTACTCTTCTCTATCATAGAGAAACTCCCCCTCTGCCTTGAGTAGCCTCATAGATAGAGTGAGCGCCGTGCCAGAAAGCTCCTCCTCCGAAGCAAGGATGGCCAGAAGGGTGGTCTTGTACAGATTAAGCTGGTCTTTGAGCCACGCCAGAACGACGGAATCTTTTTCTGACAACCCCTTTTTAGACACGAATGCGCCTTGGGCGAGGAGGCGCATGAAGACACGGCAAAGCGCGACGGCCGCCAGGACAGATTCTTCGCTGCCATCTTTGTAGCTTTCCATGGTCTGCAGCAAGATTGGAATGTTGTTGTAGTTCTTCTTGGACTCCAAAATGCCCTGCTCCATCAGGAGAATTTTATCACCGGGACTCTCATCCTCATGGCTGAGTGAGCGACGACGCTTCACTGGCTTCTCACTATCAGAAGCTCTCTTGCGCTTCGGTTTCGCAACGGCATCTTTAGCCTTGGGTGCCATATTTGGCAGATTATTTTCTTCCTGTTCAAATAATCTTAAACGCGAAGTCTGTGCGCCCAATGGAATTATTAAAATAAATCAAAATAGACGTTTCTGATGCAATTATGTTCAAGAATTGGGTTGGATGTCAATTCATCAACATAAATTTTCCAAGGTCCCCCAGAAATCTTTCAATCAATCTCGAAAATCGAGCCAATCGGAGCGAACATCCCCTGGCTCTGGAGACCGATTAACGGCTGAAGGGCGGTTAAATCACGATAACTGGAGGTGGAGAACAGCTTGAAGAGCCTTGCACGTGACTTGTAGATGTTGCCGAGCTAGCGCGATAAAACCTCAATCCTCATTCCCAGCTCCCGAGCAACGTCAAGCCCCCGGATACCCCATTAAACCTCAACACACAATGGCCTCACGATTGGCGCGAAGCGCTGCCGGTACGTTCCCACGATGCGAATCGCCGACTCCTGGCCTCAATTGACCCCCGTAACTGACCCTCTGACCTTGTCCCGGACACACAGGCGCAGCTCCCCTCCTCCGACCCGTCATCAGCCGCCGCGCCCTCCCTGCCGTCTCGGCCGCCGCCGTCCGCTACAACAGCAATGTGCCCGCCGAGGAGCCCAAGAAGAAGGCCCAGAGCATCATCGACGCCATCCCCGGCAACAGCCTGCTCAGCAAGTCCGCCATCCTCAGCGCCTCCGCCGGTCTCAGCATCTACGCCCTCTCCAGCGAGTACTATGTCATGAACGAGGAGACTGTCATCGCCTTCTGCCTCCTGTCCGTCTGGGGTGGCCTCATCAAGTACGGTGGTCCCGGCTACGCCGCCTGGGCCGAGGCTCAGAACCAGAAGATCAAGAACATCCTCAACAGCGCCCGTGCCGACCACACCGAGGCCGTCAAGACCCGCATTGAGGACGTCCAGCAGATGAGCGGCGTCGTCGACATCACCAAGACTCTCTTCGAGGTTTCCAAGGTCAGCAAAAATGAAGCGGGATGGAATCAATGGGTGTTGGGATGAGTTTGGATGGAAATACTGATGGTTTTCTATAGGAGACTGCCAAGCTCGAGGCCGAGGCTTTCGAGCTCGAGCAGAAGACCGCCATCGCCGCTGAGGCCAAGGCTGTCCTCGACTCCTGGGTCCGCTACGAGGGCCAGGTCAAGCAGCGCCAGCAGAAGGAGCTTGCCGAGTCCATCATCGCCAAGGTCCAGAAGGAGCTCGAGAACCCCAAGGTTCTCCAGCAGATCCTCCAGCAGAGCGTTGCTGATGTTGAGAGTACGTTGACATCCCACACAATCCCTAAATGATCTGATCAAGAATAGCCTTGATGCTAATACATATCCAACAGAGATTGTGGCCTCCAAGACCCAATAAGTTATCCGCGTCTGCGAGAAATGAAAAATGAAATCAACACCCCGGATTTCCTTTGTCCCTCTGTGTCTATATACACCTGTGCATTAGCCAATAAAATCAAAGACAGTCGTCGGATCTAATTTCGTAGCTTTTATTTATGGCCTTGATGTGATTATCATTTTGGTGACGTGTTCTTACGCAAGAGCTACGACTTCCATTAGCGACCACAGATCGGTGGTAAATAAGGAACTCTAGACGTAAACATGTAGAGCACTATGCCGATAAGTGATCTTTCAACGAAATTCACAATAGTGGTGGTGGATGGATGGAGTAAGTCAGAGCGAGTTGCCCAGTCAAGGACTCATTATCATGAACCAATCAAAACGCATCAACATCCATCTGAAAGCTTTATATCGTTCAATTTATATATTCGGATTCATAACAATAAGATACACAAGTGAGTATAAGCCACCACCAAAAACGCCCCAACCGTTGTGTGCCAGCCCCTGATTGAGGGGAGCACTTCCGCCAGGCCGAAGCAGCCACGGCCAATTTGTTCAAAACAAGAATACACAAGAAAAAAAAAATGATAGATATTATGTGCGTATGCAATCATGGTGAAGCGTGATTAGTAATTTGCGGCTTTCCACCAGCGTTAATAGATTGGTCTGGCCTCCTCCCATTTCTTCGCTTCGGGAAGCTGCTTGGAGGGCTCAGGGGATTCCGTCTTCGTGTCCGAAATCCACGAAACCCTGCCGCTTCGCCGGCGCCGGGCCCCTTCGCCAGCGGTGGGGCCAATCCATTCCCAGGCCCGGCCAACTTCGCCGCTCCTGCCTTCGCGCTGGGACGTGCGGATGTTGCTGTTCTGGTCGACAACAGCCTTCACCCGTTGCCAGATTCTCTCTCGTTCTGACAGTGAATGAACTGCTCTGAGAACATCATCTCTGAGATTAGGCAAGAAAAGCCATGGGTCATCAATCTCCTCATCGCCTAGTTCCTTCTGGTTTGCTAGACGTGCCAGAACCTGGTCTACTAACGCTGGGATTTGAGCCGATGTTGAAACATGTTTGCGGTAGCGATACCGTAAGTATAAGACAAAAGTAACAAAGGAGATTAAAAGTCCAATTGTGAATCGATGTTTTTCCAATCCGAGGCGGATGGAGCGCTTGATCGCACAGGTGAGTGGAATGCGAGCGAGAGAGGTGGACGAGATTCTGCGGTTTGGAATGCCGGTGGGACTGGACGCTCTGTAGGTTGAACGGCGGATCTGGTTAGTTCATATGTCAGAGACGGTTGAGATAAGAAGTAGTACTTCGAAATAGGAGAAGGGGGAGCAATGATTGTGTGGTGTGTTATGGGCTGGCCAAAGAGAATGACTTACTGTACGGTCTCGACCTCAATCTCCTCCCGCGAAGTAACCTCGCCAAGGGCAGCAGCCCAAAGATCCTCAAACTCTGCACTATTCAGCCTCTTGCTTCTTTTGCGGCTGACTGTTTCCTTGAGATCTTCCTCAAGCATCGATGGGGAGTCTTGTCGGTTGCCTTCTTCGTCAACCAGCTCGCCACATTCATACTTGGCGCGGCGCTCACGAAGCTCCTCAACAGCCTTGTCAGCGACCGCATGAACCCGACGAGCTTTCTCGCCATCAGGCTCACAAGAAGGGGGCAATGGAACGAGAC